CAAATGGAACAAAGCCTTTTTCAGCTGTGAGATGATTTAAAACTTCTTGCTTAGCCAAGTAACTACTTTAACCTTAATTGATTCTCATTTCAAGGATATTCATGGGAAGTTCAGGCCTTCAGGTGCTCGGTGAGAGCCAAGTTACAGACCAGGCTTGGAGAGTGTTTACATTGGAGACTTCCCTGAAACTCACTGCAGACATCTGGCCAGGCACCCTTAGAATTGTTGAATATTCTGGTGCCAGAAAAGCACAATTATTACATTTCATATCTAGTTTTGCTTCCAGAGAGAGAACAGTGCTCGAGTTTGGTGCGCTGTAGGCTTTACATACATTATTATAGATATCTTATGTATTGTTCCAGGTGAGTACTGAGAATTTCTTGGGTGTTTTTTTCCCTTACACTGTGACACTCTGGGTAGGACAAGCTGCTTTTATTAGAAATAAACCACTGAGCTTTCCTAATTTGATAAATGTGCCTGTGAATGAGTCCCTTTCTAATTTGTGTTTAAAACAATGTAGGTACTAAACACAAAGTTCAAGGTGCAAATCTCAAATTGATGATAAGAGCTGAAAACTCAGGTTGCCAATTTTTCCACCCAAGAGAGGACAGGGCAAGAACTGAAGTATTTCATGACCACATTTTCAATAGTAAATAATACACTTCTTGAAAGGATAAAGGGTGATTTCTCTTAAACTCCCTTTATTTGATTTGATTTTGCTTTTTCTGCTAATTTGCAGAAAATAATCAAAATAATATGCAGAAATAATCGTATGACCGATTATTTCCTAATTACAATTTTAATTTGTATTGATGACAAGATTATCTGCTCTTAAAGCTTTAAGGGGCTGTGGAGTGGCTATGCTTTATTGGTTATATTTCTGTTATTTTCTATATATTCTATATATTTCTAAATATCTATATCTATATATGTATATATATTCTGTTATTTCTATATATTGGTTATATTTCTGTTATTTTCTATATATTCTATATATTTCTATATATCTATATCAATATATATATTCTGTTATTTCTATATATTGATTATATTTCTGTTGTTTTCTATATTTTCTATATATTTCTATGCATCTATATATCTATATTCTGTTATTTCTATATATTGGTTATATTTCTGTTATATTCTATATATTTCTATATATTTCTATATATCTATATATATATTCAGTTATTTCTATATATTGGTTATATTTCTGATATTTTCTATATATTCTATATATTTCTATATATCTATATCTATATATTCTGTTATTTCTATATATTGGTTATATTTCTGTTATTTTCTATATATTTCTATATATCTATATCTATATATTCTGTTATTTCTATATATTGGTTATATTTCTGTTATTTTCTATATATTCTATATATTTCTATATATTCTGTTATTTCTATATATTGGTTATATTTCTGTTATTTTCTATATATTCTATATATTTCTATATATTTCTATATATTCTGTTATTTCTATATATTGGTTATATTTCTGTTATTTTCTATATATTCTATATATTTCTATATATCTATATTATGTTATTTCTATATATTGGTTATATTTCTGTTCCAAGAGCACAAAGTCCTGGAATGGTTTGGGTTGGAAGGGACCAGATAGAACTGCTTAACATTTTTGTTGTCAAAATCTAGGCAAACATCAATTTATAAACGGGGGAGGTCAGGGGTGGGTTCAATCTGTAACCAACTGGGAGAAACTGGGGGTACAACAGAAGCTGGGGAATACAATGTTTAAACCAAGAGGGCATCACAGGGGAGGAGAACAACTTCAGCAAACCAATGGGGCCTCGAAGGATACAAAATTGATGGGGAAGTTTCTAGAGAAAGGGGCAGGCTTGGGGAGGGATTGACATTCAATGGCAGCAGGAACAGGGAGAGGTTTGGGGAGATGGACAAAACCAACAGCACAGGAGGGAAGGAGCAACCCATTGAGAATGAAATATGCCATAACAATACAAAATAGGAGGGGCTACAAAACTGCTGCTAGGAGCAAATAACAGTCAGAACCACACACCCCAGCAGGAAGGAGCAGCAGCAGTGGGAGCAGGCAGCTGCTGTTTGTTTCTGCTGTTCTCAGGGAAACATCCCCGTGCTTACATTGCTCACAAGTGAACAGGGTCACAGCAGAGGATCTACCTGGCTTGGCTGATCCCTTCTCCTCCAGGGCAAACATTCCCTCCTGGCTTGGCTGATCCCTTCTGCTCCAGAGCAAGCATTCCCTCCTGGCTTGGCTGATCCCTTCTCCTCCAGGGCAAACATTCCCTCCTGGCCAGGCCTGCAGAGCTGCAGAGGATCTACCTGGCTTGGCTGATCCCTTCTCCTGCAGGGCAGACATTCCCTCCTGGCTTGGCTGATCCCTTCTCCTGCAGGGCAGACATTCCCTCCTGGCCAGAGCTGCAGAGGATCTACCTGGCTTGGCTGATCCCTTCTCCTGCAGGGCAAACATTCCCTCCTGGCTTGGCTGATCCCTTCTCCCTCCTGCAGGGCAAACATTCCCTCCTGGCCAGAGCTGCAGAGCTGCAGAGGATCTACCTGGCTTGGCTGATCCCTTCTCCTGCAGGGCAAGCATCCCCTCCTGGCTTGGCTGATCCCTTCTCCTCCAGGGCAAACATTCCCTCCTGGCCAGAGCTGCAGAGGATCTACCTGGCTTGGCTGATCCCTTCTCCTCCAGGGCAAACATTCCCTCCTGGCCAGAGCTGCAGAGGATCTACCTGGCTTGGCTGATCCCTTCTCCTGCAGGGCAAACATTCCCTCCTGGCTTGGCTGATCCCTTCTCCTGCAGGGCAAACATTCCCTCCTGGCCAGGCCTGCAGAGCTGCAGAGGATCCACCTGGCTTGGCTGATCCCTTCTCCTCCAGGGCAGACCTTCCCTCCTGGCCAGGCCTGCAGAGCTGCTTGGAGCACTGGGGTCAGAGCTGTCGCTCCCATTGCTTTGCTGACACTTCTGCCCTGAGCTGTGGGGAGTGAAACTGGGAGCAGCAGCACAATGGGAGCTCTGTTCCTTCTTTTCCACCGGACCTGAGTGCTGGGAGACGTTGGAGGTGAAGTTTAGAGAAGTGCCTGGCTTAGCAAGCAGAGAAATCTCAGTGTAGCACCCAGATATTTACAGCTGTTCCATGGAAAGGAGTACACATTTCCCTGCAGCTGGCAGGGTGTGTTTTATCTTTGTAAATCCTCACGAATGGTGTTTATGTGAGGAATGCTTTCACTGAAACGCTGCCCAAGCCCAGCTCCACAGGTGAAGGTCTCAGCCCTGCCAGGAGCCCACGAGAGCACAAGAACCAGAACCTTCCTGGAGGAACCCTCTGCACAAACCTGGCAGTGTTTGCAGCCCCCTGTGGGAGTTGGTGTTAAAACCTTTATCGGATTTCTGTGCTTAAATCAGGCTTTATTTTAAATCTCCTTTACATTCTCATCAGTTTTTATATGAGATCTCATAATTATCCCCAAAGACTTGTGCAGTAGGGGCTGTTTTCCTCTCAAAGTTTCAGGCAGTTCCTGGGGAATCATGTGGAATCATCTGATACACAGATGACTTTCAAAAGAGTTCTCAGAGCTGTTTGAAATCCTACTTCCTGCTGCCTAATCATCATAGAAAACTTGCAGTGGTACTCTTGTAAAATAATACAGGAAATCAAAAGGGCAAATATGTCCCTCTTTTTCTGAGTGGGACAGAAACAATTTTTTGGAGTCTTCAGTGGCACAGCACAACAGAGCTGCCAAAAGTGTACAGAAAGTCTCCTCTCAGTCTCTTATGTGTGAGGAAGAACCATGTAATTCTTGTTGGAGAGGTGTCCACACTCAAATCCCCTGCCTGGCTTGAATTTTGGGCATATCTTGCATTTCAGAAACCCCATCCTTATCACACCTTATTCGTGGACGTGTGCTGGCTGCAGAAATGCTGCCATATTTTATTAATGCAGTATTTGACAGCTGTTAAATAGTGAAACCAGAGATTGGTGCTCTCCTGACTAAAAGGTGTGCACCTGATACCCCTCACAGAGAACCCAATTAACCTTTGGGCTCCATATATTGAATTACCAAACTGGCAGCTACACTCAGCTGCTGGAAATCAGCTGCAATTAAACTTTCAGACAAAGCTGGTTGATTATTTTGCTTGCAGAAATCATCTTGCACTCCTGTGTATGGGATTTATCCAGCTAAAATCATGTAAATGTCCAGGTTATTATTCCTGCTTTTTCCTTGGGATGGTGAGTGCTCAACTCTGCTTTCTCATCCCTGAACTGACAGTAATTTTGGGGATTTTGGGGGATGTGCACCTTGGTTTTTTGGGAATAGCTGCAGCAAACTCCTCTTAGACTTGCTCTTAGCCACCCCTCCTCTCTTCCCATTAATTAGTGGGAGCAAATAGCACTCTTGGGATTGATTCTCTGTTGAGCAGCTGTGCAGTAATTGATAGAGGATACTTTCCAGGGGGTACTCTGGCCACAATTATCTGCTGGGTGAAAGAATATCCATTATTAAGGGTGAAAATCTATTAAAGTGAACTTGAGCAGGAAACTAAAGCAATGTTGGGTTTTGGGGCAGCACTGTGCCCTCAGTAAATTTGGTGATGTGATGCTGCCAGTGTTCCTTGTCCATGTGGTATTTTAGCTATGCCAGTTGTACTTCAGAGAAATGGAGAGGGTTTTGCTATTTAATGAGCTGTGATGTTATTTGTCTTTATCAAAAGACAGTTACAGGACACTCTTTTGTGTTTATGTCACCCCAGAGAATGAAAAGCAAATTAATCAAATTCAGCAAGCCAGTTTTTTATGGGAGATTAAAACATTGCTGCAGCAATGTGCAACCAACTCCTTTAAAAACAAATATTTGATAGTGTTTCCATGGTGAAATTTTCTGTTTGTTGGGAAAGTTTTTGGTTTTGTTTGAAATGAGGATGAATTTATCCACTTGCTTGGTTTGGGGACTTATTTATGTGATGTTATTTGTACTTTTCCCTTGCAGGAAATCCATGACTTGTTTAAAGATTATGAAATCAAGTATTGTTATGTGGACAGGAATAAAAGAACAGGTGAGAACTTAAAACTTGCATATATTTCAATCCTGTGAGGAACATCATGTGCTGTATGTGAAGTCATGGACTGTCACAGCTTGTCTGGCATCCCTCAGTGCCTTTTTTGTCACCTTCTAGTGAAGCCAGTGAAAGCTGGAAACTTTCTGGTGTTGATGTGATTTTTGGTCCCCTCTGGTCTCTCTCAGGAGCATTCCTCAGTGAGTGTCCCTTTGGGACCAAGCTGACCCCAGCTGGCTGAATTCCTTTGGGAAACTGCCCCTGAGGCCTCTCTTGGGACAAACCACACGTGCCTGAGAGGAAAACCTGCCCAGCTCCAGCTGCATTTGTGGTTTGCTCACATCAGGAGACACTTCTGCCCTGTCAGGGTCACCCAGCACTGTTGTAGCTTGTCCAGAGAGGTCTCCATCCCTCGGGATCCTGGGAACCCATCTGGGTGACCCTGCTTGAGGAACAGGAGGTCCCTGCCACCCTCATCCAGCCTGGGACTGTGTGAGATGCCTGTGGACTGCAAAGCCCAAAAAAAGACCTGTTAACCCCAAAGTGAGAGCTTGTGGATGTTGTCATCAAAGAAATTCCATAGAATCTGTGATGTGTGTATTCCACTTCAGTGGAATCTTTAATTTAGTGAAGAACAGTCTGCTAGGAGAATATTTAATTTAGTGAAGAACAGTCTGCTAGTAGAATATTTAATTTAGTAAAGAACAGTCTGCTAGTAGAATATTTAATTTTGTTCCCCAGATACAGAATTGGTTGGGTTCCAAGTAGTGAAGTTGTGTGCATCACAACACAGTCACTTTCTGAGTTAAATGCTCCTGATGTTCAATTGAGATTTTCAGTATTATCTATAATAGATACATTTATTTGTTGGATCTTTGGGGTGAATCTGTGCTTTCAGGGGAGGGAGAGGTCTGCTAGTAGACTATTTAATTTAGTTAAGAAAGTCTGCTGGTAGAATATTTAATTTTGTTCCCCAGATACAGAATTGGTTGGGTTCCAAGTTAATGAAGTCGTGAGCATCGCAGCGCAGTCACCGAGTTAATTGCTCCTGATGTTCAATTGAGATTTTCAGTATTATCTATAACAGATACATTTATCTGTTGGACCTTTGGGGTGAATCTGTGGTTCAGGGAAGGGAGAGGTGTGGCTGCAGAGCAGCTGGGCTGGCTGATGTCCCCATGCCTTTGTCTCTTGCAGCCTTTGTCACGCTGTTGAACGGGGAGCAGGCCCAGAGCGCCATCAGGAGGTTCCACCAGCACTCCCTGCGTGGCAAGGAGATCTCAGTGCAGCTGCAGCCCACAGATGCCCTGCTGTGCATCACCAACCTGCCCCTTTCCCTGGGCATCGAGGAGTTTGAGGAGCTGGTGCGTGCCTATGGCAATGTGGAGAGGTGTTTCCTGGTGTACAGCGAGCTCACCGGCCGCTCCAAGGGCTACGGCTTCGTGGAGTACATGAAGAAGGACTCGGCTGCCAAGGCCAGGCTGGAGCTCCTGGGCAAGCAGCTGGAGGAGAGCACTCTGTTTGCACAGTGGATGGATGTGAACCAGCTGACCACAAACCTCATTCACTCCAAGTGCCTTTGTGTGGATAAACTGCAAAAAGACTGCGCTGATTCCAAGGAGCTGCTCCAGGCTTTCTCCCTGAAGTACAAACCTGTCTTCTGCCAGGTAGGGTGGCTTTCTGTCCTATGCAAAACCAAGGCTGGGGCTGCAGCATTGCCTCACTTCGCTCTTGCTGTCTTCCACTTTTGTTTCTCCTGTTTCTTTTCCTATTTTTCTTATTTATTTTTATTTTCCTATTATTTTTCCCATCAACTGTTGTGCCATCTGCACAGTGGTGTGAGCAGTGCTGCTGAACTGCTCTGGCTGTGCAGTGTGATCCATGTTCTCTAGGAATTCTGGGAATTCTGCAGGATAGCACTCCAGCAGTGCTGCTGAACTGCTCTGGCTGTGCAGTGTATCCATGTTCTTCGGGAATTCTGGGAATTCTGCAGGATAGCACTCCAGCAGTGCTGCTGAACTGCTCTGGCTGTGCAGTGTGATCCATGTTCTCTGGGAATTCTGGGAATTCTGCAGGATAGCACTCCAGCAGTGCTGCTGAACTGCTCTGGCTGTGCAGTGTGATCCATGTTCTCTGGGAATTCTGGGAATTCTGCAGGATAGCCCTCCATCAGTGCTGCTGCTCTGTGTGAGCAGTGTGATCCATGTTCTCTGGGAATTCTGGGAATTCTGCAGGATCTCACTCCAGCAGTGATGCTGCTCTGTGTGAGCAGTGTATCCATGTTCTCTGGGAATTCTGCAGGATCTCACTCCAGCAGTGCTGCTGCTCTGGGTGAGCAGTGTATCCATGTTCTCTGGGAATTCTGCAGGATCTCACTCCAGCAGTGCTGCTGCTCTGGCTGTGCAGTGTATCCATGTTCTCTGGGAATTCTGCAGGACAGCACTCCAGTGAAATGCCAGCAAAATGTTTGGAGGACATCCCCTTTATATCATTTACTGAAAATAGTTTGGTTTTTGAGAGCTTTTGAAGTTAATATTGCTGAAGGTTTTATTGCTCAAAGAAGGCCAGAGCGTAGGAATACCACAAGTGCAACAGTTCAGATGCTGCAAAATACATCATATAATTAATATATCAGTATTTAACGTGTTTTTCCCTGACTGAGGGAGGCTTGGGTTCTTGGCTGTTGTCAGGGATAGGAGTGCCACATCTTTTGGAAAGCTGGGAAGCACAGCAGTGGTGGATCCTTGCCTTTTTAGTGCAGAGGTTTCCTCCTCATCCCCGTGGCTTGTGAGCTGAGGCCACCAATCAAAGTTGCACAGACAGAGCATCATGAACAAGCAGTAGAAGGAAACCTTTCCTTGTAGTCGCAGAGACTGCAGTGGCAGGGCTGTTTTTGTGCTGTTTTGTCCCTTTAGTCTCTTGGAAGGCTGCTCAGGGGTCATCCTGAGGGATGAGCGCCCGGAGGCTCCCAGCAGGTGGAGCAAAGGTCCCTCAGGATCTGCAGCCTGACACCTGCGGGCCCTCCCCTCCTCAGGGCTCTCTCCCAGCCCCAGCAAGCTCTGCTTGGCCAGAGGAGATCCTTAGGCTTGATCCAGAGCCAGCAGGAGATGAATAAAGTGGAATCAACTCTTCCCAGGAAATGCCCATTCCTGTTTTGATCTGGAGCCTGGCAATGTGTCTGGCTTCAGCCTCACCTCGCTGATGCCTGAATTAAGGAGCTTTTGCTCCCATTATTTTCCTCCTGTAAGAAGGTATTAAATGCTGGACTCAAGTCTCCTGCTCAATCTTTGTTTAATTAGCTGAACAGATTGATCCTTTTAAGTCTTTTCCTTCAGGCTTTTTTTTTTTTCCCAGCTGTCAAATAATCTGGGGGCTGTTATCAGCTCCCCCAACAAATTTTCACCATCCTTTAAAAATTCTGAGCTTCAAAGAACAACAGACTTCTTGGGGAAAGATGGGTTTCACTGACAGAGCTCTGCTGGGCAGTTAGAAACACTCAAAAATTGACTTTTGGCCTTTTTAAATCATAATAAATCTTGGGTAATACTTGGTGTGGGTGAGGAGAGTGTCTGCATTAGGTCAGTTCCTATAAAATACAGGAGGGTGGAGGTAGGAAAACAAACAGTTCAGATTAAATAGGTGAAAAAGGGAAGAGAATGGATGCTAATTAATTAGGGGTTTATCAGTGAGACAGCCTGAAAATTGAGGATAAAGAAAGGAGGAGGAGGAAGATCCAAGAAAAGGTGGAAAAAGCAAAGAGGGGGGATGTGATGGGGTGGGTAGAGACAGAAAAATGGGAGAGGATAGGGAAGCAGAAACCTCAGTTTGGGGGGAATTTCTATAGAGAATGACTGAGAAAAGTTGGTTTTTTCTGGAAAACTTTAATGCAGCTCTTGTGGTGCTGCCATGCCTTAGTTCTGCTGGGATTTCATGCAGTATTTCATCACAATCCTTTGCCCAAAATTGTCACCTGAACTCATGAAATAAACTTTGGGGTTTTTCATCTTATTCCAAAGTTACCTTTTTTTAAAAAAAATCATTTTGATTTCTCCTCTATTGACAACAGAAATGTTCTGTCAGGAGGAGCTGAAGCTAGATACTTGCATGTGGATATTAGGAAAAATGTGTTTTGTCCTTTCTTTCAACAGAATGGATCAGAAAACCTCATTCTTTTCTTCTGTCAACTTTAAATTGTCACTGGAAGGTCTCCACCCTGATCTGGATAGGAATAAAGAGCTTTTTTTCAGTACCTGTTTACTTGGGAAGTTGAAAAGTTCCTGAATCCTTTGCAGGAATGTTGGTGGCTGCACTTGGGACACATTAAGGGAGATTTGAACTGTGTTTCATTGTAGCTGAAACTAAAATGCACCTGTTCCATAGCTTCAATCCCTTCTTATCAGCAGCACCTCAGGTCCTTGCCAGTGCACCTAAACTGGTATCAAAATAAAATATCAATATAAAATGTGTTTATATGTGAAATATCTGTTCCCCAGAGCTCTGCCCAGAGGCCAGGCAGTAACAGTGCCAGTAAAGATCTGACCACCCTCTTTTGACATTCATATTTCAGTTGTCAGGGGGGGTTTGTGGGGCTGGGGTTGTTTTTATCCAGTGCAATCTGGAGGAGGTTTTGTTACTTCCACACCAGAGCTGGTATCAGTTTATCATTCCCATTCATCTGGGACTGGATATTTTTGCCTAAGCTTCATCCCTCCCTTCTCAGCCTGTTTTTTTGTTTGATTTAAATCTGCTCATTCTCTCCCAAAGTCTGCACACAAAGGCCAGGGCAGTGTTTGCCACGTAAGCCCTTTTCCAGTCTGCTTGATTGATCAGTCTGGCATCTTCTCTTGGCATTCCCCACAACCACAGCCTTCCCCTGCTCCCAAAGGGCACCAGATCCTGCTGGAATTTGCATTGTTGCATGTTTCAGCAGCTGCCATGCACCCTGATGAGCAGCACTTTGAATATGGCAGGCTGAAAAAAATGAAGAAGAACGAGTTTATAATGATCCTGCAAAACAAAACTGGCTGTAGCACCCAGCTGCATTTACAGTTTGCTTCTCATTCCTGCTTTGTTGTTTAAATGTGTGATGGATGCATTCCATGGCTGAGGGTCTGCCTGAGGTGGGATGGAAGTGGAGGTGGGAATGGAAGAGATAAGGAAAGGGATGAGCAGATAACATGAAGAGATAACCACGAGTCTCTAAACAGGAATGCCAAAGAGATGAAGATGTGATATCCAACTTATTTCCAGCGTTTATAGAAAGAGCCTCATGATTTGGGGGGAAATACTGACCTTGGTTCTGTCAGCTGTGCAGGGTCTTGCAAGGGACAGGTACAGTCCTGCAGGGCAGCTGCTGCAATTCCCATTTTCCATGGGCTCTGGGAGCTGTTCCTTTGCTGGAATTCCCATTTCCATGGGGTGCTGGGAGCTGTTCCTGCTGGAATTCCCATTTTCCATGGGGTGCTGGGAGCTGTTCCTGCTGGAATTCCCATTTTCCATGGGCTCTGGGAGCTGTTCCTGCTGGAATTCCCATTTTCCATGGGGGGCTGGGAGCTGTTCCTGCTGGAATTCCCATTTTCCATGGGCTCTGGGAGCTGTTGTTGCTGGAATTCCCATTTTCCGTGGGGTGCTGGGAGCTGTTACTGTTGGAATTCCCATTTTCATGGGCTCTGGGAGCTGTTGTTGCTCAAATTCACATTACCATGGGATCTGGAGCTTTTCCATTGCTGGAATTGCCATTTCCCTGGCTCTGGAGCTGTTTTTTCTCCTGGAATTCCCATTTCCATGGGCTCTGGGAGCTGTTATTGCTGGAATTGCCATTTCCCTGGGCTCTGGAGCTGTTCCATTGCTGGAATTCCCCTTTCCCTGGCTCTGGAGCTGTTCTTTTGCTGGAATTCCCATTTCCATGGGCTCTGGAGCTGTTTTCCTCCTGTTATTCCCATTTCCATGGGCTCTGGAGCTGTTCCTTTGCTGGAATTCCCATTTTCCATGGGCTCTGGGAGCTGTTATTGCTCGAATTCCCATTTCCATGCGATCTGGAGCTTTTCCATTGCTGGAATTCCCATTTCCCTGGCTCTGGAGCTGTTTTTTCTCCTGGAATTCCCATTTCCATGGGCTCTGGGAGCTGTTATTGCTGGAATTCCCATTTCCCTGGGCTCTGGAGCTGTTCCATTGCTGGAATTCCCCTTTCCCTGGCTCTGGAGCTGTTCTTTTGCTGGAATTCCCATTTCCATGGGCTCTGGAGCTGTTTTCCTCCTGTTATTCCCATTTCCCTGGGCTCTGGAGCTGTTCCATTGCTGGAATTCCCCTTTCCCTGGCTCTGGAGCTGTTCCTTTGCTGGAATTCCCATTTCCATGGGCTCTGGAGCTGTTCCCTTGCTGTTCTTCCCCTTTCCCTGGCTCTGGAGCTGTGTTTACTCCTGGAATTCCCATTTCCATGGGCTCTGGAGCTGTTTTCCTCCTGTTCTTCCCCTTTCCCTGGCTCTGGAGCTGTTCCCTTGCTGTTATTCCCCTTTCCCTGGCTCTGGAGCTGTTCCCTTGCTGGAATTCCCATTTCCCTGGCTCTGGAGCTGTTCCCTTGCTGTTATTCCCCTTTCCCTGGCTCTGGAGCTGTTCCCTTGCAGTTTGCCCAGGACGAGGACGGCGGCAGCGGGGACTTTGCCGTGCTGGAGTACGAGAGCGCGGAGCAGGCAGAGAGCGTGCGGGGGGCCATGGACGGGGCCACCATCCACGGCAGGAGGCTCCAGGTGTCCTTCTGTGCCCCTGGGGCCCCGGGCAGGAGCACCTTGGCAGCTCTGATAGCAGCCCAGAGGATGGTGAGATCCCTGGAAAGCTCTGTGGGATGAGTTCCTCACGCCTGAGCTGGGAGAAGGAGCCAGGCTTGGGGAGTGTTTTGGCTTTTTTAGAGCCAGGTTGGAGCACCTGGGACAGTGGGAGGTGTCCCTGCCATGGCAGGGGTGGGATGGGGTGGGATTTAAGGTCCTTCCCAAGCCAAACCAGTCTGGAATTCTATGGGGTCAGCACTGTTGGGTCCCTGCCCATGGTAAAGAGCTTTAACCAACCCAAACCATTCTGGAATTCTATGGGGTCAGTGCTGTTGGGTCCCTGCCCATGGTAAAGAGCTTTAACCAACCCAAACCATTGTGGAATTCTGTGATTCCATGGGGTCAGCACTGTTGGGTCCCTGCCCATGTTAAAGAGCTTTAACCAACCCAAACCAGTCTGGAATTCTGTGATTCCATGGGGTCAGCACTGTTGGATCCCTGCCCATGGTAAAGGGCTCTAACCAACCCAAACCATTCTGGAATTCTATGGGGTCATTGCTCTTGGGTCCCTGCCCATGGTAAAGAGCTTTAACCAACCCAAACCATTCTGGAATTCTGTGATTCAGTGGGGTCAGCACTGTTGGGTCCCTGCCCATGGTAAAGAGCTTTAACCAACCCAAACCATTCTGGAGCTCTGTATAATCAGCCCAGTTCAGGCTCCTTCCTAGGCAAAGATGGCCAGGAAGAAGATTAATAAATATCCATAAAAATCCCACAAAGTTGCACCCACATAGCTCTGGGATTTATTAAATGTAATCTCCTGTAAGAGAAATCATTCCAGCTCAAAACAAAAGTGACTGGGAATGAGTCATTGGACGAGCTAAAACTCGGTTTCAAACAGAGAGGCAAGAATTTGTCAGCTTTAAGATAAATTTCAAGGCAGGAGAAATAGGTTCATTTCATGCTCGAGGTAGAAGAAAGCTCTTTACACCCACATGTCTTATCACATTATTTCCTAGAAAATTGGATGTGATCAGAGTTACATGGAGAGGCAGCAGAGTTCCCTCTCTCCAGCCTGCTCAGGCCACGTCTCTGTAAGAGACAGGAGAAGTCTGCTACAGGATATGGTGCTCATGGCAACATTTCTTATTCTCCTGTACTGATAACTCTGGGGTTAAAGGAAAAAAAGAAATGCGCTTGGAATTTTGTTGGAATCGTTTGTTAGGTGTTTCATTTGAGGGGAAAAAAGCAGGAAACAGGGAAGGAAATGGGGTTTTTTCTGTGTCAGATGAAATGTGGACATTGCCATTGGAGTTTGAGGGATTGAAATGTACTCATTGTGTTTTGTTGCTTCTAACACTTTTTCTCTCTTCATTGGAGATGAGGAACAATAGGAAAGGCTTGCTTCCAGAGCCAAATCCAGTGCAGATCATGAAAAGTTTCAATAATCCAGCAATGCTGCAGATGCTGCTGCAGCCCCAGCTGCGTGGCCACGCTGTTAAACCTGGTAAGCTGCTCTGAAATAATGCAAAATCAAAGCCTGCTCTTAGTGCTGCAAGGCTTTTGCAGAGTAATTAAGTAGAAATAATATTTAAAATTCTGTGCAGACACTGTTGCAGTGTGTTTGTGCAGGTAATTTCAGCTTTTATGAAAGCAAAAGCAAGAGGTGCTCTTGTGTGTGGGTAAAATTCAGTGCTCCTGCAAATACCCTTGTATGAACTCTGTGGGCTCTGAATATTCATATTAGAAATGGGTTTAGAAAGAAATGTCTTTTGCAAGGCTTGGCTAAACTTAAATCTGATTTTAGATCTGAGTTTTGCAGCCTGAGTCTTTCTCCTGTTGCCAATGTAAATCTTTATTCTTTTGGCTGCTGCCACAGCTGTGCAGAGTATTTATTACAGCATCAGCCAGAAACATTTATGTGCTCTAATTAGGAAGTGAATAAACATAAACCCTAATTAATCACATTTCAAAGGGTGAAAGTGCTCAGAACAGGAACAGGTGATGGGGGAGAGCTGAGAGTGTGGCTACAAAGAAACCCAGAAATGGGGTGTGAGGTGACCACTTCAGGGCAGAAACACTTGAGCTAAACCTGAATTTAAAGCACTTCAGATAAAGCTGAGCCTGCAATCAGCTCAGGAGTGAAACTCTCAGGTGTGGAGGAGCTCTCACATTCTGGTCATTTTACATCAAAAGGTTTCATAACCTTTCCCAACCTAAACGAGTTCCTTGTTCCCTTGCAGTGACCTTTGTACACCTGAACATTTTTTGGAAAGCAAATTAAAAATACAGGATAATTGTAAAGACTTTTACTTGCCTAATTTGTAAAATACCTGATTTTTTTGCTGTGTTTCTTAAACAGTTCTTGGAGCATCTGCAGGTTTACCTCACCTCATAAATTCAGCAGTTGGGCCACCATTTTTGCAGTTGAATAAAGTTCATCAGGTATGTGACAAAAAAAAACTGTCATCAAAAGAGGTGTTTGGGGAGAGATCCTAAAGTTTTAAGGAATTAAAGCTAAAATCAAGTGTTCTTGTTGGAGCTCTAAGGAAAGCTATGAGATGGGGGAGCAGGCAGTGCTAACTGTCCAAAATTGAGTTATTTTATCTAAATTTTGGACTTCAAACCTGCCAATGTAGACAAAACTTGTCATTACTGGCAGAATGAGGTCTCAAGGAGCCTGGCACATCCCTTTCTCTTGGAGCTGCTCATCCACACTTTATGATTTATCTGATTCAAACCCACAAGTTCAGCAGCCTCAGCTTCATTTTCAAGCTTCCAAATGTGCTGCATGTGCCATAAAAAGCAGAGATTTGCAGGTGTTATTTCTTACTGATAAACCCCCCCAAGTTCTCCTGGAATTCCAGATGGGCACCAGAATTGCTGAGAGAAAATGGGAAGGATCTTTGGGATGGGTTTGTGCTAGAAATGGAGAGAGGGAAAATGCACCCACAGCCAGAATTTCTGCCTTGAGCTGAGCTGCTCTCAGGGGTTTCTCCAGCTCTGCCAGGAGCCAAAAATTGAATTTAATATTCATGGTAGGGATTCACACAAATACCTACGAGGGACTGGAGTCCAACACTTGGCCTTATTATTTCTGATATTTCAGAAATTTCCATTTTAAAAATAAAATCCCCTTCAGCATCAATTATTTCTGCAGTTCTTTTGACAAACACAGAGATCTTTAAAATGACCCAACTAAAATGCAGGAATATTCCCTGTGTTAAGTATATTGAGCTCTTGTATTTTTTCTCTAAAAACTGGTAGGTGAATATATTAATTTTGAATAAATTCTGCTTAATTTTGCCCCATATAAAATATACATAATTATTAGGGGTTTTTTTTTAAACTGAAATGACATTTTTCAATTGGCCTGTTTAAGTTCCTGCTGCTCTCTCTTCAGCCTTTGGAAGGCACTGGGAGTGTTTGGTGCTCCCAGCTGGAGCCAGGGATGTTTTCCACAATTAACAGTGGGATTGATGATGATCCAAAGGCTTTTCCAGTGGTTTTTGGCTTGGGAGAGCTGCAGCCAAACAACTCTGTGTTTTCTCTGCCCAGAGGTTAAAAGTCTCATCTCCTTCTCTTCCTGGGAGCTTCCTGTCATTTGATGAGCTCCAAACCTGAATTTTAGAAGGATGTGATGATCCCAATTTCTTCTCTAAGGCACATTTTTTCTTCTTGGGTGGTTTGTTTTGGGGTGTCCTCTAAAGCCAGAGAAGCAGGTCACTGTTTTGTTGATTTTTTAATTCTTTATTTTGAAATTCAGTGTTGTCACTGAAAGCCCTCCCCAGTCACGCTGGTTTAGCTCCCTGCAAGTCTTAGGTTTCTCTTTTATATTCAGGGCTTTGTGAAGGAACAGAATGAGAATAAATATTTTAAAATAGTTATTTTAATAGTTATTTTAAATAGTTATTTTAATAGTTATTTTAAAAGTTATTTTAATAGTTATTTTTTATCTTAGGTTTCTCTTTTATATTCAGGGCTTTGTGAAGGAACAGAATGAGAGTAAATATTTTAAAATAGTTATTTTAAAAGGGTTCAACAGAGAGAATTTGAAGGTTATTCACCCAGTAATTTTTCAGCTTGAGGTAGCCTTCTTTTCAACATTGTTTCTCTTAATTTCTCTTAGTTATAAATTGTCCTGCTCCAAAATTATGCATTTTCAGCTTTCTCAGGGATGTTTTCCTCAGTCATCCAGCAATTTGTTAAATCTTGATTAACCCAGAGCCTTTCCCCTGAGGATTCTGACCAAACTGATTTTTCCACTCTTTCATTTCTGAAAGTTTTGCAATTGAACCACTTTGCTTTGTTGCTGGAGCCAAGTTCAGAAGGAGCAGCCCCTGGCACTGGTGACAATAACCAGCCCTGCATCATTTCTCCTGGAAATCACTGAGACAATTCAAATAGAGGCATAACTAATCTAGATATGGCCCATCTTTGTTTGGAAAAGCACATTTCTGAGCCCAGAAGATCATATTTCAGTCATAAAGGGTTTTTTCCTTAAGGAATTTAAGCCTGCCACCCAGACACAGCCAAGGCTTGGAAATATCTGGGAGATGTTTTGCACTCTTCATTCCCTGGGTTTGGTGATCAAAAACAATAAAGGGTGAACTTGGCATGATCACAGTGTCCTGTCTGCTTATTTTTGTACAACACCCTATAGAACAACCTGCATTTCACTGGCAGATGATGCTGCCAGGCACTTCCAGGCCTGTAGCATAAATCATGATGTCTTTTAAAGTTTATTTTAAGCCTCAGAGCTGGCCAGAGCTCATAATGTTGACTATACCGGTGGCAGAGTCTGGAGAGGGTGCCCCAAAATTATTAATTCAGTGGCTCAGTTCTGGTGGCAAACTGATCCAGAATATTCTGAATGAGCAATGTGAATATTTAATAGACCTGCCAATGTGCAGGCACTGTGATTTGTCAGGTTTTAATGCCTCTGGAGTAGGATTTCATGTGGATTGTTGTGTTGTGGGGGAAAACATATCTGGGTATTTCTCTGAAGCAAAATCACTTCTGTGGAGGAAATTATTTCCATTTGCTGCCTTAAGTCAAAATCTTTAATTTCTTCAAGCATTTCTGGCTGGCTGCCAGCTAACCCTTGTTTTGATCCTTTCTCAGAGCTCACTCCTGGGGAGCACGTCCAGCCTGCTGCTGCAGAGCCCTGCTCACCTGCCCCTGCCCCAGCAGCAGCTGCTGAAGATGGAGAACATGCAGGCAAACAGTGTAAGGCCATCCCTGCAGCTCTGCCTCCCTCTGAGCACTCCCATAAACCCTAAAAGAAATCATTTCTAGCATCAGGTGATCTTTAAGTTCCCTTCCAACCCAACCCATTCTTGGTTCTGTGATCCTTGAAGAGTTCAGCGGAGCTGAAGAGGTTGAGAGTGTGGAAGTTGTAAAAAGTAGCTCTGAGCAGATTATTTTAATGATTTACACAGTTTTCTCTTCTTCCTTTTAGAAACCAGGTTTGCTGGGAGAGCCTCCAACAATGCTGCTGCAGACAGTGCTGGGCATAGGGGTGATGCCAGCAGTGAACTCAGGCCTGGCAGCACGAGGAGAAGCTCTCAAGTGTAAATGACATTTCATTTCATCCCAGATCACTAGAAATGCCCACTTCACATTGTGCACATGACCTTCTCCCTGTGTCACAAAAGCAGCTTGTTCAGTCCTCTGCTAGCTCAGTTATTCCTTCTTTGGTACACTTGGAATATGCTTTTATTTAGAGGTGACATTTTGTGGGGTTTTTCAAAGCAGGTAAATGGGAGTTGCTGAAGAGGCACCACAAATTTGCTCTTTGCCTTCATTTTATTAAGAAATGAGTTTTAACAGTCAGTCTGTGACAGGTGTCAATTTGGAATGCAAATTTCTGTGCCACTGATGCCCTCAGTATTTATGAGGAAGGATCAGTTGGATACTGGGGGTGCTCACCTGGACAGGAGAAGGATCCAGGGAGAGCTCAGAGCCCCTGGCAGGGCCTGAAGGGGCTCCAGGAGAGCTGGGGAGGGACTGGACACAGGGAATGGATTTAAGCTGAAAGTGGGTGGATTTAGATGGGTGTTGGGAAGGAATTCGTGGCTGGGAGGGTGGGCAGGGGCTGGTCTGGAATTCCCAGAGCAGCTGTGGCTGCCCCTGGATCCCTGCAGTGCCCAAGGCCAGGCTGGACACCCTGGGACAGTGGGAGGTGTCCCTGCCATGGCAATGGATGATCCTTAAGGTCCCTCCCAACCCAAACCATTGCAGGATTTTCTGCTCTTGTTTCCTCCCCTGCTCCCTGTGTTCTGCAATCCTGGCCCTTCCCTGAGCCATGGCAGTGACCAGGAGCAAGGAAAAGGCATCCAGGGCAGGGCAGAAAGCTCCTCCAAATACCCAGGTTTTCATTTTGGAGAACATTTTCCAGTTTTTCAGTGAAAAGAATTCTTCCCAATGCCAGCTGAGGTGGGGTTTCCCCCTGTGCTCCCATCCAGCATCCTCCAGGATGTTGTTCCCAGGTTTTCTTTGAAAATGCCAGGAAGCACTGAGAAAGTTATCACCGGGCATGTTTAGAAAAGTCAGAGTTTTATTGAATCAGCTTGAAATTGAGTTGTTTGCCTGTGGGATGGGGAAGGAACAAAAAGCAGTGCAGTAGATCTGGAATTGTTCTCCTCCACCCTCATTAACCCCACAACAAACCCTCTGTAATAAATCCCATCTAACAGCAGAGTTTCTCCATTTATGGCTGGCTGCAGCATCTAACGCAGCTCCCATTCCAGCAGCGGCAGCAGCGGCAGCGGGGATGGGCGTGCTGCCATTCTTCCCAACCCAGCCCATGGTCGGACAGGCTCTGCCCGGGCCCAGCGCCGCTGCGGACAAAGCCGAGGCGCTGCCGCCAGCGCCGCCCTTCGCTCCGGCCCTGCCCGGGGCGCTGCGGGCCGCGCCCTCCAAAGCTGCGGGGCACGGCAAGGGCTGCGACTCCGGCCTGGGGGTAAGGGCACGCTGCACACACACACACACTGCTGCTCCTCTTCTCTTCTCTTCTCTTCTCTTCTCTTCTCTTCTCTTCTCTTCTCTTCTCTTCTCTTCTCTTCTCTTCTCTTCTCTTCTCTTCTCTTCTCTTCCTCTTCCTCTCCTCTTCCTCTTCCTCTTCCTCTTCCTCTTCCTCTCCTCTCCTCTTCCTCTCCTCTCTCTCCTCTTCCTTCTTCTCTTCCTCTCCTCTCTCTCCTCTTCCTCCTTCTCCTTCTTCTCCTTCTCCTTCTCCTTCTCCTTCTCCTCCTCCTCCTCCTTCTCCTTCTCCTCCTCCTTCTCCTTCTCCTTCTCCTTCTCCTTCTCCTTCTCCTTCTCCTTCTCCTTCTCCTTCTCCTTCTCCTTCTCCTTCTCCTTCTCCTTCTCCTTCTCCTTCTCCTTCTCCTTCTCCTTCTCCTTCTCCTTCTCCTTTCCTTTCCTTTCCTTTCCTTTCCTTTCCTTTCCTTTCCTTTCCTTTCCTTTCCTTTCCTTTCCTTTCCTTTCCTTTCCTTTCCTTTCCTTTCCTTTCCTTTCCTTTCCTTTCCTCCTCCTCTCCTCCTCCTCTCCTCTCCTCCTCCTCTCCTCTCCTCCTCCTCTCCTCTCCTCCTCCTCTCCTCTCCTCCTCCTTTATTTGAACCCCTCCTGTGTCCCCCCTGTACAATTCCCTTTATTTGAACCCCTCCTGTGTCCCCCCTGTCCAATTCCCTCTATTTTAACCCCTCCTGTGTCCCCCCTGTACAATTCCCTCTATTTTAGCCCCTCCTGTGTCCCCCCTGTCCAACTCCCTTGACCCCAGGACCATCCTGGGCACACGTGGAGCTCTCACAGTGGTGCTGATGGGGAGAGAACAATGCTCTCTCTCCCTGGTGGTCCAGCTGAAGGAACAAAGGCAGCTCCTCAGTGCTGCAGGGCTCCCCTCCATGTGTTTGCCTCACAGGGCTGGATCATGGAATTTAACATTTATCTCAGGGCAGTGTCTCTTCTAAAGGGCAAACATTGAACTTGGGGTTGAATTTTGTGATTCATCAGAGCAGTTCTGATGGTTGGGGCGGGCTGTGGGTTTCCAGGTGCTTGTGTGTGTGTGTATAAATTTTCCACTTTTAATTAACAGTTTTAAAAAAGATTATTTATTCCCTTGAAGGTGAGGTGTGAGAGGATGATGGAATGGGATGTAAGTGGTCTCATTCTTTCAGAATTCCTTTTCTGCCCTTAAGAAAACTTACCTTTTTTACATATAAATATAAAATAATTTATAATAATAATAATTATATTTAATACATATTATTACATTATAAAAATAATAAATAATAATTTTAATATACATCAATGCTTCAACGTTTTGGGGAAACATGGGCTTAATTAATGATTTTTCCTAACATTTGGCCTTTATTTCCTTGTGTCTCCAAATGAAAAGAGTTGATTTTGTCTTGGCCATGTACTTCATGTTCACTCCCTGCATCTGGAATTGCTCGAGTGATTATTATTCCTTCACTTGCATATAAAAGTTTTTCTTTTGTTTGTTTGTTTTGTAATATCCTTTAGGAACTTGCAGTCTGAAGAGAAACATTCCTACAAAAACCATTTGGAAGACAAAAGTGTAGGCAATGTGTCCAGATTGCTGAAATAAAATGGAACTTGTGAAGGATTGACTTCAAAAGTTTCATTTTATTTCAGAAGTTTTTGTTTTTATTTCATAGGACTAAGCTTTTCCCAAGGCCCTGCTAGGCCACTGAAGCTTATTTCTGACCAATTTTATATGAATTTAATGCAAACTGCCCTGTCCATTTTTCAGACTCCCTTGAAAAAACAGACTTCTCTGCTTGGGGAGCCCCCAAAAGAAATCCGGCTCAGCACCAACCCCTACTTGAACTTGGCAAGTGTTTTGCCTGGTATCTGTCTGCCAGGTAAGCCCACATTCCATGGATTTCATTGCAGATTTCCACAGCCAGAGCATGGCAGATACTTGCCCTGTTGGCCTGGTAAATCCAGTGCCACAGCATTTATCCTCAAGGGAATCTTGTGGTGTGTCTCAAAAGTGCAGAGTAATTTACCCTGATGCTTAAACATCAAGGGCTGCGTTTTCAGAGGCTCACAGACTTGTAGAAGCCTTCCAATTATTAGCAGCACTGATGAATTTGGGGCACAAATCTCAATTTTAACCCTAGAATAGAACCTAATGAGTGTGGTTTTTACAAGCCAGGTGTTGATCCCAGCTCTGTTCTTTGTGTTCCCAGCAGCAATTGCCAGCAAAGCCTCCAGTCCTCCACAGCAGAGCAGCCTTCCAAACAGTGTGGTGGATGCTGCTGTGTCTCAGGGAACTGCATCACAACATGCAATGGAAAATTATTTCAGTTATTCCCAGCAGCCTGGGGAGTACCCACAGGTAGGAATAATCCCACAGCCTGGGCTTCTCCCAGAGCTGCTCCTTGTTTTCTCTGGGTGTTCTTCCTGAGCCTCTGCACTGACACTTTTATCTGATCATCTCAGTGTTCAGAGCAGATTTAGCACAAAGAACATTCCCTGCTGAAATCACAACCCTTGAAAAAATTGTTTCTTGAGGGCCTGAGCTGTGGGCACTCACTAAAAATGACTTCTCAGCACCTCTGCCTTGGCTTTTGTCTGCCTTCAGAACCAGGGGGTTTTTCTCTTTGCCTTGCCCAGAAGTTTTTGAGTCCTGAACCTTGGCTGGAGCCCAGGGCAGAGAGCTGCAGTTGCTGCACAGCCTGGGGATGTTTGCCAGCTGCTCTCATGCACAGGATGTGCTCCCCATGTGGAGATCAGAGCCTGGCCAGGAGCTGCAGGCCCTGCAGAGTGTTCAGTGCTCAGAGCCAGTTCCATGGGACACTGGCAGGGAACATCTCCATATTTGCATTAAGCACCCTGAGTGTCTGTAGAACTGTAAGTGCACAGGACAGAGCTGAGAGCTGCCTCTCCCTCCCCAGGGGAACACAGAGCCTCTCCTGGGCTGCTGTGAGCCCCAAACTCCTGGCACTCAGGGATTGGCTTGGGAAGGGAGATCTCTGAAGTAGAGAGGGCAGCCTGGCCACAGGGGTGGGGACAGGGTCAGTGCACAGAGCTTTGCCAGGGGCCACACAGCCCTTGGATCAGATCTGCTGCTGGAGGGGCTCCAGGAGAGCTGCAGGGAACCTGGGACAAGGCCTGGAGGGACAGCACACAGGGAATGGCTGCCAGTGCCAGAGGGCAGGCATGGATGGGACATTGGGAATTGGGAATTGTTCCTGGCAGGGTGGGGGTGCACAGAGAAGCTGTGGCTGCCCCATCCCTGGAGGTGTTCCCATAACAGGAATTGTTGTCCCTGCCTCTCTGCCAGGCCAGAGGTGCCCCCTGTGTGTTTTAAGCACTTTCCATAATTTTAACTGTTTGATTTGAGCTTCACCACTGGTGCTGAAGGTGTTTTGGTGCTTCTTGGAGAGCTCTGGGCTGTAGGAATTGTAGGCAGGCATGGGAGAGGATTTCTGCTCCTCTGTAGGAGGCTGTCCAGCAGTGGTACCAGCATTATGCTCAGGCACATCACTCTACCCAGGCCAGAGTGGATGGCTTGGAAAATGAAGCCTCTGAGGTGAGAAATAATTTCATTTTCTTGCTGTCTCCACTGGCTGTTGCTCCCATCAGCTTTTGGACACCTGCTTTGTGTGTTGGCACAGGAATGAGGGGCTGCAGAAGGCACTGCATGGGCACTGCTGCAGGGCAGCACCCCCAGAGTCACACCCAAAATCCCCCTCTCTAAAATCCCACCACCCAAAAGCACCTGGAATGCTCAGCAGTGGATTACAATGCTCCCACCAGGAACAGCACACCATTAATGGCATTTCCCAGGGCTCAATCTCCCAGCATTGAAGGGCTGTTTCTTGCCCAAGCTGAGGTTTTGGTGAGCAAGGAGAAAGACACTTTTGAAAGGAATGACACAAATTAAAGCATCATCCAAACCCCACATTTTGCTCCAGGATTTGCTGCACCCCCGAGCTGCTGTGAACTGCACCTCTTGTGACTGAGGTATTTCCTCACCTGCTGAGAGCTCATCACAATAGCAGAAAAAAAAAAAGAATTATTAAACCTTTTTTCCTTCTGCTTCACGGATCCCCTTCTGGATTCAGGAATCTGCAGGTGGATCTTTCCCAAACTACAGCACCTGCCTGCAGGTGGTGCCTCCCTTTTTGAGTGGAGCCCCGGGATCGCAGCTGGGCTTGCAGCCTCCTCCAGCCAATCCCCTAAAGCAGGTGAGAGGAGCAGGAGCAGGAGGAGGAGGAGGAGCAGGAGGAGGAGGAGGAGCAGGAGGAGGAGCAGCAGCGCCTGCAGACGCTTCTCCCTGGCTGCTGCTGCCCCCGGGTGGAGCTTTCCCTCTGCATCCCTGCTCCACACAATTCCTGGGAATGTGAGAGGAGGCTGGGCCAGCTCCAGAGCCTGCAGAGCCCTCCAGGCCCTGGGGATCAGCTCCTCTCAGGGCCCCAAAAGCCACGGGCAGAGCCAGGCTGGGGTTTTGGAGGCAAATAAAGTAGGAAGAGAGGAGGAGAAGGTTGGCACTGGATTTAAATGGGTGTTTGCCTGACTTGCAGATGGTTTGTACTGGGATAGGATCTCTGAAGTTGAGAGAGCAGCTCAAAATTTCCTGGAAAGCAAATCAAAAAACCACAGGATAAATCTAAAGTTTTAGGATGAAAACTAGTTCTTCTTCATAAGTTTAAATAGTATTGTGTAACTAGATAAAAAAGTCCACATTGCAAGCCACAAGTAGTTATTAGGTTAAAAATAAAAATAATTTAAGTATAATTTCTTAGTTAATCCTTAAAAATCTTATAAAGAAAAAAAAATACAGCTCCATTTTTAGTTTATTAAAATCAAATACTACAAAACTCACAACTATAACATAAAAACTATAACATAAACTATAATGTAAAACTAGAACATCACTAAAAACTGATATCTCAGGATCTCTGCTGCTCAGAGGGACCCTGAGATGCATTAGAAAGTTTCTTTTCCCAGCCCAGGGGTCGAAGAAGGAGTCAGAGCTCTTCAGTTCTCAGTCTCAAGGTTGTTTATTGTTTCTTATCTATAAAATAATTGTTTCTTTCTCCTGCCCTGCCGAGGTCTGTCCAGCAGGGCAGACAGACACACTCTGCCTTCCCTGGGGTGCTGTTATCTTTTTATACTAAAAACTACCTGTACAATATTTACAATTACTTCCCAATACCCATCACCTATGTTAGACACTGAGCTTCTGCTCTAAACCAATGCAAAAGTGCCACCATCACAGCAGGAGATGGAGGCCAGGAAGAAGAAGGAGAAAGGCTGGACATGCCCAGATTCCTCCATCTTGCCCCCTGAACCCTCATTCTAAAAACCCAAAAAAAATCTATTTTTCACCCTGTGATAAATTCACTATCATTCTACTTATCATTCTACTCTTAACAAGTCTTTCTTGACTTGCAATCCTTCATACAGGGTTGGTAATTGTTTTTTCCAAGGGCTCAATCAAGGGCACAGGGTCCTTGGGCTCTGTGCCAGGGTATCTGGGCGCCCTGACAGGGCAGCCCGAGGGATGTCCTGGGCTCTGACCCTAATAACCATCGGATCGAGCCCCGTGACCGCAGCCAGGCGAGCCGTGACCGCTGTGCCCGTGTCGCCCTCAGGTGGCCCCGAAGCGCAGCTCCTCGTACCTCGTGTCCTGCCCCGAGCCCGGCCCCGCGGAGCTGCCGGGCCCCGCGCGGTTGGCGGAGTCCTCGCTGAAGAAGAAGCGCGTGTATTGACACAGGGCTGGGATCCAGGGCTCCCAGCCGGGGCAGGCAGCCGGGAACCCTGCTGCAGTTATTGCTGCCTTCACTTCCCACCAGGAGCTCCTGCTCGGCGGGGGCGGTGTCCCCAGAGGAGCCGGCTCTGTCCCGGCACCGCGAGGACAAAGGTGACAGATGTGGTGGCTGCTCTCGCTTGGAGAGGAGGGGACAGCGTTGGCTTTGTCACCTGTGGGACAGAGCACGGGGACTTGGGGAGCTGGGGCAGCTCCAGCTGAAAGCAATAAAAACCCAGAGGAAAGAAAGCTGATCCTTTCTCCAGTCCTCAGCCTGAGGAAGTTCAAAGAGGAAGTCTTGATAGTAATTATTTTGTATTTTTTTAACTCAGAATGTGGGGGGGGTTTTTTCCAACTTTCCTTTTTCCAGGATTAAGAGCTCTGCATTTACAGCCTTTCAATTTTTAATATTTCTTCTTAATCCTGGAATGGAGCGATACCAAATGGATTCCCAGAGCCTCAGTGATGTTCCCAATAAATGCCTGTCCAAAGGGAGATGCTGTCCTGGGCTGCCTTGGAATATTCCCTGGGATTTGGAGAGCTGCTCCTTGGACAGTGGAATAACTTGGTTTTTACAGCTTTCCCATGGTGTGAGGCAGCATCCTCCTTCCACAGGCACGGGACAGCTCTTCCTTGGCCACCCCACATTGTTTCCCACTTTTGGGTGTATTTTCCTTTTTTTTTTTTTTTTTTTTTAAGACTTTTTGTATTTTTAGCTTCTTACCAGCTCTGCCTCGAGCTGTTCTCTTCTGCCCTTGGAGCTGGAGATCAGCAATCCTTCCTTTAGCCCTCAGTGACAGTAGAGGAGGAGCCAGCCCTCCTTCCAAGGCTGTGTCCCTTGGAATCCTGCTGCAAATCCATCTGGATTGAGTTCACTGAGGCCAGGAGCCACCTCCTTCTCCCTTTTCTTTGCTAGAGAACACTGAAGCCATTTTTCAATACTGATTTTTTTAAATTAAAAGTCTTAAACTTTTGCCTTTCAAGCTTTGGGATGTGACCAGGATCCACGTTTTCAAAGCTTAAAAAAATCCCAAGCAAATTTCCCTCTTCCCTCAGCTGCTGGAACTGCTCCACAAACAGGAGCCAGGAGCTTTTCTGGGATTCTGCCTGTATGTATTGATAAATTCACTTGTAATATTTTGTTTCAACTGTTTGTATATGCAACTTTCTCAACTTGTTACACTTTTCAATGAAAATAAATTGTTGGTACTTACTTGAAGTGGGTTTTTTGTGGGAGGAAAACAGCCCTGGACTCCTTTAATCAGGTAAGGTAGGAAAAGGTTTTAAAAGAACACCATTCCCATGGAAATTCAATTTTAAAAACTTTCCTCTGTTTAATTTATGATTAAAAAGGGAGGCACATGGAGAAAAAAAAATTTATTAGACTTGTTTGTATAAAGAGTAACAAAGTGCTTACAGATTAAATTCAGCTTCCTAAGTGAAATACAGAAACAATAACACTGTAAAAATAAATCTGACCTCCTTGGAGCTCATAATTACCATTTTTTTATATATATTTATATATATTTATATATATATAGACCTCTTTCTGTTATTGCCAAAACTGGAGGATCTCTTCAGAGCATTTTCCAACTCCAGGTGTGGTAGGAAACATGATGGCAGCAGAAGGTTCCAGTTAAACCACTCAAGGGCTGAGTCAAAATGTTCTTTAAAAAATGGTTGGAGGGGTTCCCAGTCCCTGGGACAGCCCAGGGTGCCCAGGCCTTTTTCCTTTTGGATAATCCTGGGTGCCCAGGCCTTTTTCTTTTGGATAATCCTGGGTGCCCAGGCCTTTTTCCTTTGGATAATCCTGGGTGCCCAGGCCTTTTCCTTTTGGATAATCCTGGGTGCCCAGGCCTTTTCCTTTTGGATAATCCTGGGTGCCCAGGCCTTTTCCTTTTGGATAATCCTGGGTGCCCAGGCCTTTTTCCTTTGGATAATCCTGGGTGCCCAGGCCTTTTTCCTTCTGGATAATCCCCTCCAGGTTCTGGGCATGGGCTGGGTTCCTTCCCAGCTCCAGGAATTCCTTCCCTGCACATCCCTCAGCTCCAGGGATGCACATTCACCCCCTCCAGGGGTGCACCTGGGCTGGCAGCTCCAGGGGAAGAATGTGGGAGTGGAGTTAGGAAAAGCAAATTATTTATCCCAAAATTGGGCTTTTCACTGAAATGCACAACTGTGCCTGCCCAGCCCTCCACACTGCTGGGGTGGTATTTTTGAACACTTTTTTACAAATACCTGTAAGAGCTCAGGACTGGGGCCTGGTGGGTTTATAAAGAGCTGAAAATTTTGCTTCCCCCAAATATTTTTATGCCAAAATATATAATTTTTATGTTTTGTTCATTATTAGGATTTAAGTGCATGTGAAAGTATTTTGTCAGCTGATTTTATAATTATTAATTGAGCCCTTTTAGAGCCACTGGCTGAGGTTTGAGCTGAGAAATGCAGTGGGCTTTCCCAGCTCACATCATCCAGCAGGGCAATTCCAATTGTGGCACAGCCAGAATCAGAGCAGGATAAAACTGCCCTGCAACAACAGCAGCAAAGGGAGCTGGAGCTCATTTTGCCCAAACTTTTTAAATTCTTTTAATCCAACTCTTCAATCTGTTGGCAAAAGAATCCTTTATAACCACGTCAGCCCAGCCAGAGTACAAATTACAGGAGTAAAAAAAAAAAAACAAACCAAAAAGTAAGAGCCTTGGGCATAGATAGGTTGCTGGGCATTTAAAGTCCTGACAGGATTAAAAAAAATTATTTACATTTTACTAATAATTGCTTCAAACCCTTGGATCAGGTTGTGGAAGGTGGTACGTTCGTCGTGTTTGAAGATCCAGCACTTCCTCATCAGCTGATCCACCTGGCAACAGAACCAGGGACATTTTTAAAGGCATGGAACATTTCTTGGGGTTTTCCAGGAAAACCAATGGAGCAGAGTCTCCCTGAATGAACAGATACACCTCAGCTCTTGGGCAGGGCCAGCAGGGACCTGAGCAGGGCCTTTGGGCAGTTCAGGTTTAAACCAGCACAGAGGCAGTTCCACCTGGGGAGCTGCACCCCAGGAATTGCCAAAATCAGAAGGATTTTCATGGATCCCGGTACTAGAGCAAGTCCCTGCCCCCTCTGAAGGGACACCATGGACTTGGGAATGTTAATATCAGAAAACATCTTAAAACAATGCTTGAAAACCTTGGCAGTGCCTTTTTCCAGCACTCCTGAAGGTTTTCCTACCTGAGTGGTCAGGGAAGTGTGACCCCTCTGAGGCTGAACCTGTGTCCAGCAGGGGCGGATGGACAGACCTTCCTTCCTCCATCCCTCCTTCCATCCCTCCTTCCATCATCCATCCATCCATCCATCCATCCATCCATCCATCCATCCATCCATCATCCATCCATCCATCCATCCATCCATCCATCCATCCATCCATCCATCCATCCATCCATCATCCATCCATCATCCATCCATCATCCATCCATCCATCATCCATCCATCCATCCATCCATCCATCCATCCATCCATCATCCATCCATCATCCATCCATCATCCATCCATCCATCATCCATCCATCCATCCATCCATCATCCATCCATCCATCATCCATCCATCATCCATCCATCCATCATCCATCCATCCATCATCCATCATCCATCCATCCATCATCCATCCATCATCCATCATCCATCCATCCATCATCCATCCATCCATCCATCCATCATCCATCCATCCATCCATCATCCATCCATCCATCCATCATCCATCCATCATCCATCCATCATCCATCCATCATCATCCATCCATCCATCCATCATCCATCCATCCATCATCCATCCATCCATCATCCATCCATCCATCCATCCATCCATCCATCATCCATCCATCCATCATCCATCCATCATCCATCCATCATCATCCATCCATCCATCATCCATCCATCATCCATCCATCCATCATCCATCCATCATCCATCCATCATCCATCATCCATCCATCATCCATCCATCATCCATCCATCCATCCATCCATCCATCCATCCATCCATCCATCCATCCATCATCCATCCATCCATCCATCCATCCATCCATCCATCATCCATCCATCATCCATCCATCATCCATCCATCCATCCATCATCCATCCATCATCCATCCATCCATCCATCATCCATCCATCCATCCATCACCCATCCATCCATCATCCATCCATCATCCATCCATCCATCCATCCATCCATCCATCCATCCATCCATCCATCATCCATCCATCCATCATCCATCCATCCATCCATCATCCATCCATCCATCCATCCATCCATCATCCATCCATCCATCCATCATCCATCCATCCATCCATCCATCATCCATCCATCCATCATCCATCATCCATCCATCATCCCTCCATCCATCCCCATCCCTCCCTCACCTCCTCAGGACAGCTGGCTGGCCGTGGCAGTCTCTTGTCGTCCTGCAGGACCTTCACGAGCCGTGCCACCGTCATCTGTCCCTGTGTGGGGCCGATCATCTTCAGGAATTCCTGTGGGTACAGCAGGGTCAGCTGCGAGTCCCTGACCCCAGTGCCAGGACAAGCCCCAGGTGTTTCCCAGGATAATCCTGGAGGAAGGTGCTCCCCAGGGAAGGGGTGGAACGAGATGAGCGTTAAGGTCCCTCCCGCCCCAAATGAGCCCGCGATTCTCTGATTGCTGCTCTTGTTGCCCAAACCAGTAATAATTATTTTAAATTATGGGATTGAAGCGGCTCTTGTTGCCCAAACCAGTAATAATTATTTGAAGTGATGGGACTGAAGCAGCTCTGGCAGCCACTCTGTCCCAGCCACTCACGGCCATGGGGCTGCACTCGGAGTCGCAGTAGGTGAGGAGCTCGTAGAGCGTCACCCCGAAGGACCACACGTCGGAGGCGATGTAGAACTTGCTCTGCAGCAAACACTCCGGGGCGTACCTGGGGACACGAGGGGACAGCGTCACACCCGGGGACCCAGCCCTGCCCACACACAGCCTGAGCAGCTCAAGAGCCACAGCTGTGTTCGTGGAGCCCCTGCACATAAATTAAAAAGCAATAAATAAGGTGTGTTCCACAGTGAGGCACAGTGAAACCAAGGAGACCCAACCCAAAATAGTGGGGAAATGGATCATTAAGTGCAGGAAGTGCAGCACAGGAGGTGAGCACAACAGTTCACCAGGTGCCTTCTCCTTGCTCTCATGGTGTATCTTTACTTAAGCCTCTTATAGAAACAGGAAAATCCAGGGGAGTGCAGGAGCAGAGGGGTCCCTGTCCCCTGGCCGTACCAGAAGACGGGGCTGTCGCGGTCGTCCTTGACGGTGTAATATTCCTTGTCTGTCTCGATGGCCTTGGTGAGCCCAAAGTCCCCGATCTTCACCCTGTTCTCACTCTCCACGAGGACGTTCCTCGCTGCCAGGTCACGGTGCACATACTGACAGGAGCCCAGGTAGTCCATGCCCTGAGGGAGGAGAAAAGAAACCTTTCATTTCCTTTTCCTTTATTCCTCCAATACTTTAACCCCTTTTTCTCCAGTGATTGCTTCCTGACTGTGCTCTGCACTCTCATCTCCATCCCTTTAGACTTCACCTCACACCTTTCCTCTTGCCAGCACATTCCAAGTGCTGCCCTCCCCCCTGATCCTCCAAATTCTCCCACAGGAACAACTTTTCAGAGCAAACTTTGGAACTTGGAACCTCCTCATTATTCCCCAGCTGATCCTTGTGCCACTGGCACCCAAAGCACGGATTCTGATCCATGGGGACAGAGAAGGAGAATGGTTTGTTGGTGATGTCCTCCATCCCCCTCACCCAGTTGATGGAGCTGCAGGCTCGGGGCCCAGCTCACCTTGCAGATCTGAACTGCGTATCTGAGCAGCTGCTTGAGATTGATCTTGTTCTTGTTCCGTGGGAGATACTCCTTCAGGCTCCCAGAGGGAAGGAATTCCATGATGAGTTTAATCCCACTTCCTCCTAAAAAACATAGCATGTTTGATTTGCAGACCCTTCTCAACAGCTTTGGTACAAGCCCAGAGCACCAGCAGCATTTTAAACATCCCATGGCTCATTCCCATCATCCATCCCTGAGCCAATGCACAGGAAAACCTGCTCCAGGCAGGACATTTATAAATTCTAAAGGAAAACCCAGACACTTTTTCATTTTCTGCAAGATTTACCATCTTCTGTGCAAATCCCCTTGTATTTGACAATGTTGTCGTGATAAAGATTCCTCAGGATTTCAATTTCCTTCTTGAGGTCAGCAATGTGATTCCCTCCACTCTCTGGCTTCAGGGATTTCACTGCCACCTGCTCCCCGGTGTTGTCACCTTCTGGGTCATATCTGCACAGCTCCACCTTGCCAAAGTGGCCCTGGGAGGGAGAGAAAGGAGCATCCTTGAGGACAATGCTCAGACAGTGACAGCCAGGCACTGATTTGGGTTCATGGGGCTGTGGGGACAGCCAGGCACTGATTTGAGTGTCTGTGACACAGCAGGGGCTGTGGGGACAGCCAGGCACTGATTTGGGTTCATGTGGCTGTGGGGACAGCCAGGCACTGATTTGGGTGTCTGTAACACAGCAGGGGCTGTGGGGACAGCCAGGCACTGATTTGGGTGTCTGTGACACAGCAGGGCCTGTGGGGACAGCCAGGCACTGATTTGGGTTCATGGGGCTGTGGGGACAGCCAGGCACTGATTTGGGTTCATGGGGCTGTGGGGACAGCCAGGAGCACTGGCTGTGTTCTGGGGGTGACGTTGCTCTTACCTCCCCCAAATCCCGGATCCTTTTCAGGAACCTCTTCTCAAAGAGGGTGGGATCCACCTCGGTCACAGGTTTCTTCTCTGAGACAATATCAGGATCTGGGGGGGAAAACACCCCAGGTCAGGCTCCTGCCTGGTCTGACACTCCAAGGCATTCTTGCTCTATTCCGTCTCCCACCTTTCCCTCCTTAGATCCCAGCTGCTTTCTGACAGGGAATTCTCCATCCCTTTGTGCCAGTCTGGATCTGCTTCCACACCCACACCCGGATTTCTCTGGGTGAATCTCCAACCCTGGAGCAGCTGCTCAGCTCCCAGGAGGTTGGAAGGAGATGCTCTCCAGGTCCCTCCCAGCCCAGGATTCCATGATCCCTCCCTCAGTGTCCCAGGCCTTACTCTGCTCCTCCAGTTTGTTGATGTCCCTCATGATGGCCCTGAAGAAGGGTCTCTGGTGGGGGTCATAGTTCATGCACTGCTTCATCAGATCTGCCAGCTCCTTGCAGGACGGCGTGGCCAGCACAAAGTGGCCCTCATAGAACCTCTCCTTCTGTGGGAGCAAACAGACAATTCCAGCAATTTCAACTTCCACAGCCCCCAGTTCTGAGCTGGGCACTGCCTGGGCTCGAGGATCTCTGAGGTCTTTTCTAACCTGAGCAGTTCTGTGATTCTACATCAGAGGATGTGATCATGAAATCCTTATTTCAGTGTGAGCTTTGCCAAGGAAATCCCCCTGTTCAGCTGGAACTTGGATCTTTAGGGAATTCCTCTTGTGCTGAGTCTGGAGCTACCACTTAACACCCATGAATTGTTCAAAAGGTGCTGAATTCACTTTCAAGAATCATTTCCTGCCAGGTTTTCCCAGTTATTTATGCACCAGGAAATGTTTTCCAAGGACACCCTGGGTGCTCCTCAGCCCTGGGAGGTCCCAGCTCCAGGCCAGGTGAGACAAGGCTGGGATGAGCATTCCAGGGGTTAGAAAAGCCTGGGAGAACTGGGATTGTCCAGTCAGGAGAGGAGAAGGCTCCAGGGAGAACTCAGAGCCCTTTCCAGGGCTTAAAGGGCTCCAGAAGAGCTGAGAGTGCCTGGGGACAAGGCCTGGAGGGACAGGACAAGGGGGAAAACTGAAGGGCCCAAGAGGATGGACCCAAGTTTGTGTAACAGCTTTACCTCTGCTAAGGTCTTGTCTTTCAGTGGAGTTTCTCCATTGTAGCAGATTTCCCACAGGGTTGTACCAAAGCTCCACTTGTCTGCAGCAATGCTGAGGTTCTTGGAATCTTCAACACACTCAGGTGCAATCCAGGGGATCCGCTCGACACGCTCTGGGGTGAAACACATCAGGGTGAATATCACAGGGTGGAAAACAGAATTATTCTTGTCTGAAATAAACTGGAGCTGCAGAATTTGTCCTGTTTCTTGATTCTCAAATTCCTGTTTTCAGAAGGATTTCACAGGCTTGTGCCTGGAGCCATCCACAAACAGATTCCTTCTGTCTCATCTCACTGGACACAACATTTTGTAAGAGAAATGAACGCTCTGAACAGCCACTGAGTATGTGCAGATCCATGGAAGATGATTCCTGCTACACACAAATGCAGTGTGTTTGTATGAAAGCTGATCCCTCATTGCAGCTGATCACCACTGCAGAGCCAGCTCTGGCTGCTATAAATGCATTTCTGGCCATACCTTGCCTGGAGAGCACCGTGATGGGGATTCCTGGGTCACTCAGCTTTATGAAGGGTCCATACTCGCTATCAATGCCCTCTCTGGCCAGCAGGATGTTCTTGGTGCACACATTGCCATGCACCAAATCCTTGTCCTCCTACACAAAGGCAGGGAAAGAACAGTGAGAGAGATGTGAGTGCTCCAGGACATCCACACCACAGGGGATCTCTAAAGTGCTCCAAGCTGAAATCCAAAATTACACCTGGGAAGAAACTGGAGGAAGAGAAGGAAAGGAGGAGCAGGGAGATGGAGTGTTCCCACTCCAGCACTTTTCCTGATGGAGAAATGTATTCCCAGCTAGGCCCCAGTGTCTCTTACCAGGTAGCTCAGGGCACTTGCAAGTTGTTTGGCCACTTTGAATTTCCATGGGGTTGTGAGAACTTCACTTTTCTTATGCATGAACAGATCCAGAGGCCCACATTCAACAAACTCTTCCACCATGATATCTACAGAGGCAGGTGCAGAAAGTCAGTGCAGCAATGAATTGTTTGGAGTCACTGAATTTGTGTTCCCACCTCCCAGCCCACATGGTTGGAAAATGTTTTTATTTCGCCTTGCCTAAGGTTTATTTCAATGCTCAGAGTCCAGATTAAAAGGCTGAGGGGTTTTGTGTGGCAAATGAACATTAAACCTGGAACCAGGCATTCCAAAGGTGAAATTTTAATGCACAGAACAGCTCTGAAAAATCAACAACAGGCTGCCCCGTGCTCTGGTACCAAAATTCCTTCAGCATGGCCCTGTTTAACACCCACATGTAACTCAAATTCCTTTCCTGAGTCTGGAAGAGCTCAGGCTGGGGCATTTCTCCTGTTTGTCTTTCAATTTTCTAAAGCTTTGCTCTCCTTCTGGTGCCCACCCCACAACATTAGGACTGTCTTGGCTTAAGAAGTCACATAAAGGTGTATTGTATGCACTTAGGTTTTTTATATGCATATTTATATTTTACATGCAAAAACATAAAAATGTATACATAGAAACGTATACATATAAATGTGTACATGCTTTATATGTATCAATATTACAAATATACATTTATTTCATACAAATGAATGTATATTTGTAATAAATGTAATAAATTTAATTGTGCAAATTTCACGGGGTGCTGTGTATCCACACTGCCCCTGCCTCTGGCACTCCAGCCTTAGGGAAGGCTCAAACACAGAGCTGGAAAGGGAAATTTCCTGGGAGAAAGAAAGGCCTTTCCAGCTGCTTTGCTGTCCCAGCTCCACTCTGGGAAGCTCCAGAGGCAGCAGCTGCCAGCCATGTCCCCATGTCCCTCCCAGGTGCCATTCCTGTCCCTGGCAGGGGCCATCCCCTGTCCCCATGTCCCTGGCAGGTGCCATCCCCTGTTCCCATGTCCCCCTCAGGTGCCATCCCCTGTCCCTGTCCCCATGTCCCTGGCAGGTGCCATTCCCTGTCCCCATGTCCCTGGGAGGTGCCATCCCTGTCCCCATGTCCCTGGCAGGTGCCATTCCCTGTCCCCATGTCTTTGGCAGGTGCCATTCCCTGTCCCCATGTCCCTGGGAGGTGCCATTCCTGTCCCCATGTCCCTGGCAGGTGCCATCCCTGTCCCCATGTCCCTGGCAGGTGCCATTCCCTGTCCCCATGTCCCTGGCAGGTGCCATCCCTGTCCCCATGTCCCTGGCAGGTCTGTCACTCACTCTCCAGGTCGCGGACGCAGACGCCGTGCAGGAGCACGATGTGTTTGTGGGACACCTGTCTCATCATGCTGGCTGTCTCAAAGAATGCCTGGGGAAAGGGCAGAAACAGCTCCAGCTGCTGCTCCTGAGCAGCCTCCTGGAGCCCAACCCAGCCTGAACACCAGGGGACAGCAGCACAAACAGCCCTGGGTCAGGCACACACAGGAACAGCAGCACAAACACCTGTGGGGTCAGGCACACACAGGAACAGCAGCACAAACACCCTGGGTCAGGCACACACAGGAACAGCAGCACAAACACCCTGGGCTCAGGCACACACAGGAACAGCAGCACAAACACCCTGGGTCAGGCACACACAGGAACAGCAGCACAAACACCCTGGGCTCAGGCACACACAGGAACAGCAGCACAAACACCCTGGGCTCAGGAACAGCAGCACAAACACCTGTGGGGTCAGGCACACACAGGAACAGCAGCACAAACACCTGTGGGCTCAGGCACACACAGGAACAGCAGCACAAACACCTGTGGGGTCAGGCACACACAGGAACAGCAGCACAAACACCCTGGGCTCAGGAACAGCAGCACAAACACCTGTGGGGTCAGGCACACACAGGAACAGCAGCACAAACACCCTGGGCTCAGGAACAGCAGCACAAACACCTGTGGGGTCAGGCACACACAGGAACAGCAGCACAAACACCCTGGGCTCAGGAACAGCAGCACAAACACCCTGGGCTCAGGCACACCAAGGGCAGCAGGACAGGGATGTGCCCAGGGCTGAGCTGCACCTTCAGCCCTTCCCCATTCCCTGCACTTTCCCAAAAGTCATCCATGCAGCTGAGCTTTAGTTCTATCTAGACAAGGTGTCTGACAGCAAACCTAGGTGTTTTCTATATCAAAATAATATTTAAGTCACTTTAGCTTAATAATTTAACTGTATTAATATAATAACCGAATTTGTTTTTAAAAAGAACTTAGAGAATTGTTATTTAGACATAATTTTCCAATTCTCTACTAATTTAAAATTTATCAACTATTGCAGACTCTAAGATAAAATACAATGCTTTAATACTTGATAATTATCTAATTTCACATGTGTTATCGATTATGTGTATTATCTAATTAATTCCTAATACTATTATATTCTTCTTTATTAATAATTATGTTATTAATATAATAACATATATTATTTTACTCTGATATTTCTTTATACTTGTAACTAAAAATGTTAGTAACAACATTTATATATTAGTAATATGTTATAAATGTTAGTAATAACATTTACAACATTTATGCTAGTAATAACATTTATGTCATTATCTTACATATCTCTATATAATTTTATAAAACAAAATTAATCAATATTTTATTTCTTATATTAAAGAAAAGATAAATAAAAGAAAAAACTTGCCAAGGAGATGTCTCTGTGGCTGGGGTCCAGGACTTTGAGCAGGACTCTGATCTCTCTCTCGTTCTGATACCCCTCGTTCTCATCATCCTTGAGGCTGAGCATCCCTGAGTAAATCTGGGTCCTGGTGCCTCTCCCCAGGTGCTCTCCCTGAGACACAGCAGCAGGGGTTTGTCAGGCAGGGAGCAAACAAGATTTACACAAATATTTACTGGAATCTGCACTTCTTTCTGTCTGATCTGGTTACAGACTGAAATTATTCCTGGGAGAACCCAAAGCCAGGGAGCTGCTTTTGCTTCAGTGAGCTCGGTGCCTTGTGCAGGCTGCCCTGGAGCAGAGGCTGGACAGAGCTCCAGAATAAAGCAGGGATTTATTCCAAGCATCTCCTCCATGGATCCACCTTGGGCAGCACCAGAGCCCAGCCAGGCCTGCACCCAAGATGAACCAAAATGGCCCCAAAATGCACGGCTGGGCACGGGCTCTGTCCCTGGGATCAGTTCTGCTCCATTTGCACCTTGCAGTTCATTGTCCCATCCCAGCTTTAGCCCCTGCAGTCCCACCCTGCTTGTTTTTCTCTCTCCAGCCCACGGGGTTTGTGCTCCTGGGCTGAGATTTGGATCATTTGTCCTTGGTGCCCAGCTGGAGCAGGAATTGTTTTGTCTCCCTGCTCTGTGCACAGAGCTCAGCATCCCCTGATGTGAGCCCAGCCCCACACACTAAAGCAGCACAGAATGGGAAAACAGAAAAGCCAAAACCTGAGGCATCAAGCTCTGAGCATCCTCCCCATGTGAATTCCTTGGATATTACACCTCCACATCACCCAACAGGTTCCCCGGGATTGAGCACTCCCAGACTAAACAAAAGAATAAACAACAGCTGGGGCTCTTATTCACAAAGTGCTGCTGAGGTGATCTTTAATGTGTTTCCAAAAGTCAGAGGAAGTAATATTTCACTGCAAGGCTTTGTTTGGGGAAGCAATTTCCTCCAAAATAACATCCTGCCTCGGGATATTTTTGCAGGATGCTGACTGCAAACACCAGCCCAAACCCAATCTCTGTCTGCAATGATGCAAATAAAAAACACCCAATACCTTTTTATTCCACAGAAGAGTCCAAGGGCATGAATTAAGAGCTCTTTTGGCAATGTTAAATCTGATTTAAGTGTATTCAAGGCCCTGTGTGTTTGTTGAGGTTCATTCAGGTGACCTGAATAAATAACTACAAGCAAGGGGAAATTTGAAAATTTGGGGAGGCTTAGACACAGAATTCTGACTGCTCAGAGCTTTTGAATACTTCACCTTTTTTACTGTAGAATATTGTCTCAAACCTCTGTTTCTCTGGGAAGTCAGGCTTTAAAAAACACACCCACAACAAACCAGCATTTAAGACTCCCAAGAAATGACCTTAAAACCCCTGTTTTCCATTAGAATATCTAAATATCAATTTCATTTCCAGTGAAAGGCACCACCCCTGAGCTCCTCTTTGTCCACACAAAGCCATACAAGCAGCAGGATTCTGCCAGCAGAGGCTTAAACCCAAATGAATCAATACCAATAAATGAAGCTCCAGCTGCAGTTTGCTGGGGGGAGCTGGGAGTGGCAGAGCAGGCAGCAGGGCTGGTTTGGTGGCCCCTGCAGGGCTCAGGGACAGCCACGTCCTGGCTCCCAGGGCACCTCAGCACTTGGGGGATTTTGAATGAATTAGAGATGGCACCTCTGAGCTCCTTCAGATGATGGGATTTATTGTTTTTATCTTCTGCATAGGCAGGAAGGGTGAGCTGGGCTCACATCTTCACTGCACGGCTCAGAGGGTCACAAGGCCTCCAGTCACAATCCTTTTAAGGGTTTATTAACCAATAAAACACTGCCAACAAGGGTATTTATTTATGCTTTTGACCCAATCCTTACATATTTGGTTTGATGGACTCATGCTACAGTGTAAGCTCTTTTAGCCAATCATGTTCTGGCACACAAACCTACATTCTAAACTCCTTGTTCACCTTTGTAACTGCTTTTATTTTTTCTATCTCTTAAACTCTAAAACTCTAAACTTTCCTCCACTTCGCTTAACGTGTCCCTTCTTTAAAAATCCACATTTATTTCATAAATCCACATTCTCACTCCTGGCACCTCAGTTTGGGAGCCTTTCCCACGGTCTCAGATCAAAGCCTGGGTTGAATTCCAAGCTTTAGATGAGAGCCCCAGGCTCTGGGGGCTCCCTCACGTCCCCCCAGGCTCCCACCTGCACGATCTCCTCCTTGCGGATGCGGTGGAAGCTCAGCTGCCCCATGGGATACACTGGCTGCCACTCCTGGGCCTTCTTGGTGGCCACCAGCAGGTTGGAGATTTCTGCAAGGCAAGGGCAGAAAATATCCTTAAAGCTTTCCAGAGAAACTGCATTACCCCTTCCCAGTACCAACATGGATGGAAATGCATTAAAATCCCCCAAAAAAAGGGGGAAGGAAAAATAAACTTGGGCTTGATTTCTGCTCCTCATTCAACAGAGAAATCACTAAAGCACAGTTTCATGTTTGTATTTTAAATCCAGAGTTATTATCAGCCAGATCAGGGTGATTTTGAACTACTGAACAGACTTTTCTGCACAAAGACTGAAAGAGAAAATAGCTGTGCTGTACATGGGATAAAATGGAACAAAACATCCCCTATCCCCTCCTGCAGCAGGGCCATCCCCTCTCCAGTGTGCAAGGGGAGCCTCATTTCCTCTTCACCTCCTTCCAAACTCCCTCTACTCTGGGAAGCACCACCAGTGCTCCCAGGGCACTGGAATTCAGCTGGGGAATGGGGAATGAGCAGAAGGAGCAGACTCAAAAATCCACTTCCCACTGCTGCAGGGCAGATCCAGGCTCTTCACATGAATTCTGCCCTCCTGGTATTATTTACTGGGATTGGGATGTGTGGGCATCTGGGCTTCCTCCTGCTGGCAGCAGAACCTGGCACTAAATCATCTTCTGGAATTCTGGAGTCACCAGGAATCACCACATCCTGCTTCAGTCCTGCATCCCCTGCACTTCTCTGTGAATATCTGATGAAATATTCCAAAAGAAGGAAAAACCCACCAGGGAAGGGACAGAGCAGGGAGCATGCACTGAATCCTGCTGCAGCTAAAGCCAGGGAGAAGCTGAAGTGGGCAATCAACTCCCTGCCCCTTTTTATTTCATTTTATCCCAAATCCAGCCATCAAAATGAAACCAAAATATCAGAAGTGCAAGGTTCCCCTGCTCCAGAGCATGCCCCACGCTCTTGGTGCAGTGAGAGCAGCTCAGGGACTCTCCCAAAGGCTCAGAGCAGCAGGTGATTGATGTGGCTCAGTTATTGCCCTGCTCGAACAGGAAACCATTATCAGCTCAGCACAATCACCCCACTGTGCTTCCTCTCACACCAAGCCCAGCTGCAAGGCCCTCAGAGTTCATAGCAAACAGCTCCAGAGAGTGCTGGCAGCACCCAACAACGAGCCCATTGTCCCTCAGATGGCACCTCACAGATGATTTCCTGCCACCAGGCTCTTCAGGACATCAGTTTTGGGACCAAAACCCTTCCCTGCTGCCTGGTGCAGAAGAGTTATTAAACAGCAGCTCACAGTGAGAGCAAACCAGGAGATGCCAACCCTCTTTTCCTCTCCTCAAACTTGCCCATGGCATCTGACTAAACTGCTCCCCAGAGAAGGAAAAATCTTTAAACCTCTTATATATTTTTTTAAGAGCTTTACACCAGGATACAGCACTAAAAATACATTAAAAGAGTCTGGAGTTTGTTCCCTTGCAACAAGAAACCCCTGCCAGGCCAGGCTACCTCTGGGTCTGGGCTGGCAGCACCTCTTGAGGGTGAAGCTGATGTTGTCTGTCCGCAGGATTTGTCCCTTCAGGTGATCCATGAGGTCCTTCAGGGATGCAAAGGATTTGTTGGAGCCATGGAGGAAGTACCCCCCTTTCTTCACCTCGATCTGGAAGTTCTTGTAGGGGCCTGAGTTATTCACCACCTGGGGGTGGAGGGAAAAGAAAGGAAATGGGATCACTGGAGTGAAGGAATTGTTTGTAAAGCCATCAAAGCTTCCCAAAACCTTGGCATCACTGCAGCTCATCCCCTGCTCCTCTGTCAAGGTCCTCTAATCAAACTTTAACAGAGCAGAAAAAAACCCCAAAATTCCTGCAATTTTCACTCCCAGGAAGGCTCAAAGAAAAGAGCAACAACATAAAGATGCAATCAAAGCTCAAATTAAGGCTTTTTTTTTTGTTTGTTTGCAGAGCCTGAGGTTATGCAGAAGTGCTGCCTCTTCTGGAGGAATTTTCTCTTTGTTTGGTCAAGAATTGCAGAATCTGGAGCAGGGTTTCAAAATCCCAATTTAAAAATAGCAGAACTCCCTCTCCCACCCCAGACTGCTCAATCCCAGGCTGGTGTTGAGATCCTCCAGGTTCCACTGGGCAAGGGCTGAACTCCTGAACTTCCCCATCCCAAGAGCTCTCAGGGTCTCCCCTCTGCAGCTTTGGGTCACCTCCCCCTTCCCTCTTTTCCAAGACAAAATTCCTTTCTTGTTTTACTGTTAGAAGAGAGAGCTGATCATCTTTCTTTTTTAAATATCTACAGGAGATACACCCAGTATCAAATATTCCTTCCTGACTCACCACTGACCCCATGACCATTTTTTCCTAAGAGAAGGATTTATTTTGTTATTATTTATTATTTGTTATCCATTATTTACTACTTTGTTTATTATGTATTATTTAATTCATTATTTATTATTATTCTTGTGTGAACACATTAAATACCCTCCCAAACCACCAAGCCAGCTGCAGGCATCCAGCTGAGGCTGCTGTGGGAATGAAATCCATCAAGGGAATTAAAGCCATGCCCAGAAAGGCTCCAGGGAAGCTGAACCATCTCAAGGCAAGGTGAAGTGACAAATTCTCCATGTCACGAGCCTAAAATGCTCCATTTTTATCACATCCCTGCCCAGTGTGATTGGGAGGATTGGAGCTGTTGTGGATTTAATTAATCCCATTTGGAGAGACAGCACAAAGGGCTGGGGAGAAAAAGCCAATTCCCTTCCCAGAGCTGAGGGTGAGTGCCCTGAGGACAAAGCCCATCCCCAGGGGTGGCACTGCCTGTACCTCTGAGCCCTCCAGACAGGTGACAGTCATCAGGATGTGGTTGAAGTTGGTGCAGCTCCACCTCAGCACGTACATGCCCACCTCGTTGCCCTCCTGCCTCAGCTTGTTGATGGCATATTCCGTGCTGGAAGGGATTGGAGAGTGAGGAAAAGCAGCAAGGCAGCAGCCAAAAATCTGCTTTTGGGGTGGGACAGGAGAGCAAACCTCTGCTTGGGGGGTAACAGCAACTTAGAGATATTTATATTGTTGTGAAAGTGGGATTTAAGGGTGCATGGCTCACACTAGGCTGCACAGAGCAAGGGAGGAAGGATTTAATAAAGAGAATTGTGCATCCAGCACTGTGCAGATGAACTCCTGGATTTCTACAGTTTGCAGCTTAATAAAGGGAATAAAGGGAATAAAGTGCATAAAGGGAATAAAGGGAATAAAGGGAAATAAAGGGAAATAAAGGGAATAATAAATAAATAATAATAAAGGGAATAATAAAAAAATTAAAATAAAAAACAAAATAATTAATAAGAATCAAAATTTTCCCAATAAAGGGGAAAGCCACAAAGGTGGGTGGAGGGAAGGGAATTCCTTTAGGTGCTTAAAAACCCAAGGCTTTGTTCATCCATCCAAGGATTGGGGTGAGTGAAGAGACACTTCCACTCTCTACCTAAAATATTCCCATGTGTCCATGGAAAAAACTCTTGGAATACTCCTTTAGTGAAGAAACACTGAGTTTATAAATGAATAAGGAGAAAAACACTGATTTTTTCCTTTAACAAAATGAAGTTTTGGTAACCACCACCCACCCAAACCCCACATTCACTGTGAGAGGAATTATCAAAATTAAACCCCTGAAAACGCACAAGGGACTGAGCAGGTGGGCCCATAACCCCAAAATGCAGGAGGGACTGAGCAGATGGGCCCAAAAACCCCAAAATGCAGGAGGGACTGAGCAGATGGGTCCATAAACCCCAAAATGTACAAGGGACTGACCAGATGGGCCCAAAATGCAGGAGGAACTGATCAGATGGATCCAAAACCCCCAAAATGCAGAAGGGACTGACCAGATGGATCCACAAACCCCAAAATGCAGCAGGGACTGACCAGATGGATACATAACCCCAAAATGCAGGAGGGACTGACCAGATGTGCCCATAACCCCAAAATGCAGCAGGGACTGACCAGATGGATACATAACCCCAAAATGCAGCAGGGACCGAGCAGATGGATCCACAAACCCCAAAATGCAGCAGGGACTGACCAGATGGGCCCAAAATGCACAAGGGACTGACCAGATGGGCCCATAGCCCCAAAATGCAGCAGGGATTGAGCAGATGGGCCCATAACCCCAAAATGCGGGAGGAACTGAGGAGATGGGCCCAAAATGCAGCAGGGACTGACCAGATGGGCCCAAAAACCCCAAAATGCAGGAGGGACTGAGCAGATGGGCCCATAACCCCAAAATGCAGGAGGGACTGACCAGATGGGCCCATAACCCCAAAATGCAGAAAGGACTGACCAGATGGGCCCATAACCCCAAAATGCAGCAGGGACTGACCAGATGGGCCCATAACCCCAAAATGCAGAAAGGACTGACCAGATGGGCCCATAACCCCAAAATGCAGCAGGGACTGACCAGATGGGGCCGTGGCAGCCGTTGCTGATGTTGTGCTGGATGAGGGGAGGAGCCACGTCCGTGCACAGGTAGTGGTGGGCGTCCGCCGTCAGCCTGAAGTAGCCGTCGACCAGCGAGGTGAAGGACAGCGCCTCGGCGTGCGAGCCCAGCCGCAGCTCCTGCCAGCACAGCACAGCACAGCACAGCTTGTGAGGCTCAAAAACATCTCAAAGATTTCTCCCTGAACCTTGGGGACGTGTAGGACCAGCTCATCCCCTGCTCTGAAGTGAAGGTTCTCTAATGGAATGGCAGCAAAGCAGAAAAGAGCCTAAAATTCCTGGAATTTTCACTGCCGGGAAGGCTCAAAGAGAAGAGCATACATGAGATGCAATAAGAGCAACATAAAGATGCAGTCACCCAATAAAAAAAGGATTTTTAAAAACAAATGTTAAAAGATTTTATTTTATTATCAGTCTTGTTGAAGGGTGAGACATAAGAGATGTAAAACTCTACAACATTCTGTCAGAATCCATTTCCTGGGTACAACACCTTATAAATGTTCTTCTAAATTAACTTTTGCCACATAATGCTGCTAATACTTCTAACACCAATCACCAATATTATTACCTATATTTTACCTGTACTTTTACCTATATTTCACACAAATCACCTACATTTTACCTATATTTTACCTATATTTTTACCTACATTTAACACCAATCACCTATATTTTTACCTATATTTTACCTATATTTCACAGCAATCACCTATATTTTGCCTATATTTTTACCTGTATTTAACACCAATCACGTATATTTTTACCAATATTTACCTATATTTAACACCAATCACCTATATCTTTACCAACATTTCACCTATACTTTTATCTATATTTCACACCAATCACCTGTATTTTTACCTGTATTTAACACCAATCATCTATATTTTTACCAACATTTTACCTATACTTTTATCTATATTTCACACCAATCACCTATATTTTTACCAATCTTTTACCTATATTGAACAGAAATCCCCTATATTTTTACCTATATTTAATACCAATGACCTATATTTTTTCCCCACATTGTCCTGCTACAATGCATCTTTCACAGCTCTAATTCTCTAAAATATCTGAGTCTTTTTGCAAGGCCATCTTTTGAAACTTGTTGAAATTTGTTTCTAGTTCAATCTCCCTCAACAATGTCATCTTTATTCTATGGCATTCCTAATCAGCTCATTTTATCTCAGAGTTTGCACACAGATGTACAAAACTGTGGGAGCTTTCTGTCAGGTTTTGAAATCCTTTAAAATTCATTTTCCACATCTCCCCCTCTTTTTTTGGTCTGTAAAAACTTCTTGGATGGTCTCATTTATCACTGGCTGCACACAGTGAAGTGCACAAGGCACTATTACTGATACAGTATATTAGTAATGCACTATATTATAAAATATTGGTGTTGGAATGCTAGAACACCCCTGAAATGCAGAGATTCATGAGGAATATCCTTCAGCCACTTCTGGCTACAGGATGTTGGGATTTAGTGGCCATTCCCTGCCCTCCCTGTCACAAATTCTGGAATTCCTCATGGGATTTGTGAGGAAAATTCTGTGCCGGTGTGGACACAGCTGCACTTTGTGGGTTTTTTTGCTGTGCCCAGTGTCAAAGCCAGCACATTTGGTGTTATTTACACTCAATATGTCCCTTAATTGTCACCTTGTGCCCAACCCCAGCCTGGCTCCCCATGGAAGGGAAAGGATCCAGCAGGGAATTAAGTGATCCACCAGGGAATTAAATGATCCAGCAGGGAATTAATTAAATGATCTACTGGGGAATTCAATGATCCAGCAGGGAATTAAATGATCCAGCAGGGAATGAAGTGACCCAGCAGGGAATGAAATGATCCAGCAGGGAATTAAATGATCCAGTAGGGAATTAATTAAATTATCTACTGGGGAATTAAATGATCCAGCAGGGAATTAAATGATCCAGCAGGGAATTAAGTGATCCAGCAGGGAATTAATTAAATGATCCAGCAGGGAATTAAATGATCCAGCAGGGAATTAAGTGACCCAGCAGGGAATTAATTAAATGATCCAGCAGGGAATTAATTAAATGATCTACTGGGGAATTAAATCCAGCAGGGAATTAAGTGATCCAGCAGGGAATGAAGTGACCCAGCAGGGAATGAAATGATCCAGCAGGGAATGAAATGATCCAGCAGGGAATTAATTACATGATCCAGCAGGGAATTAATTAAATGATCTACTGGGGAATTCAATGATCCAGCAGGAAATGAAATGATCCAGCAGGGAATTAATTAAATGATCCAGCAAGGAATTAATTAAATGATCTACTGGGGAATTCAATGACCCAGCAGGGAATGAAGTGACCCAACAGGGAATTAAATGATCCAGCAGGGAATTAAATGATCCAGCAGGGAATTAATTCAATGATCTATTGGGGAATTAAATGATCCAGCAGGGAATTAATTCAATGATCTATTGGGGAATTCAATGATCCAGCAGGGAATTAATTAAATGATCTACTGGGGAATGAAATGACCCAGCAGGGAATGAAGTGGCCCAGCAGGGAATGAAGTGGCCCAGCAGGGACTCAAGCCCAGGCTCCAGGGAAGCTGAGGCAGCCCAAGCTGAGGTGAAGGGACAAAGCCTGAGTGAGGGTTTGAAATGCTCCTCTCAGCCCCTCCTGCCCATGCTCACCATCCTCCTGTTGTCCTGCTTGTTGATGCTGACTGTGGCCTCCTTGATGACGATGTGGGTGATCTCAGGGAAGTAGGAGAAGCTGTTCCACGTCTCCCGGAGTTTGTGCTTCTCCTCCTCCTTTTTGCTTTTGCCATCGGATTTTTTCTTCTTCTCTTTCTCTGTCTGGACAGGCTGCAAATGTATTTGGGATAAAAGCTGTGGTTAAAACATGTTTAGCACTGTGGTTTTGCTCTAAACCAAAAATTCATGCTAGAATAGCAATGTAAATTAATTATTTATCAGTTAGAATTATAGACAATAATTAATATATACTTAATAAAATTAATCTAAATTATAGAATAATAATGTAAAATACATAAGATAATGTATTGCAATACAGTTACTCTAAACCAAAAATTCATTCTAGAATAATGATATAAATTATTTATTAAGTAGAATTATAGAATAGAATTATTATAAAAATTATACAATTAAACTCAATTATAGAATATAAAATATAGAATGTATTGCAATACATTGACTCTAAACCAAAAATTCATTCTAGATAGTAATATCAATTCATTATTTATTAGTTAGAATTATAGAATATAAGTATTATATAAATTATAAAATGAATGTATAGCATAATATAAATTAATTATTAATTAGACTATAATTATAATATTAATTATAATATCAATGTAGACTCTATATTAATAATATAGTCTATAGAATACAATGTATTCTAATACATAGAATAAATCCATTTAATTCTGGGATGTTTTTCACAGGGTCTTTCATTTTCCTGGTAAAAGGGCTGCCCACAGAGGTTGTCCAGTGTCCAGTCTTGGATGAAAGTCCTGAGCCTGGTCTGCTCTTCAAACCAAGCCTCAAAAGGGGATTTGGCTGGAACTCCCTGAGCTCCTTCCAACCTGGATAATCCTGTAATCCTATAAAAGCCCCTCCACCACAAAGCTGTGTCTGAAGCCCACAGCCACCTTTCAGCAGCTGCTCTGTCCCAAAATCCCCTTGAATTCCCATTTCTCAAGGCTACTCACACTTGGCTTGAGCCTCCACTGGATGCCGTTGTTCCCTGTCACCATCACCTCGTACTTCTCGTTGTCTCCACAATTGAATTTATTCACCTCATTCTCAGCAGAAATCAGCAGGAACGAGGTCTCAAAGATCTCTGCCCCATAATATTTGGTCAGGACCTCCATGGTGGATAAATATTTCACCTTCAGGTCCCGAGGGGAGACGCTGTTGTTGCAGATGGTTTTGTTGTTGAACTCCTTGAGGAAATGCTTGAAAACGTTATTGATCCGAATCCTGGTCAAGAAATTCCTCTGCCTGATGGTCCTGTTCAGAGTCTCAGGGATATAATGCTTGTAACTGGGAGGAGAAGCAGGGGATTAAATTAAATTAAATTAAATTAAATTAAAGTGAATGAAATTCCTCCTGGGAGAGCAGCAGAGCCAGCAGGGACAGAGGATGGATCCCAGCTCACCTGATGTCCTTGGGAAGCTCTGGCAGCTTCACATTTTTCTTGATGGCATCGTGGGAGATGGCCAGGACAGCCATGCCCAGACACTCATTCTCTATCTCATGGACCTCCTGGTCGTTTTTGGGGTCTCGGATGGGTGCCAGGCCCTTCACTAGGTCATACTGGCCCTTAACAGAACAAAAAACCCCAAATTACCCAGTTGGTCTCTCCCAGAGTTTGTCCCTGAGCCAGGAATTCATCCCAGGATCCTTGGGCAAGGAGAAGCTGGAACCTCCTCCCCTTCTTTTATATACCAGCCCACCAAAAATTCACTTTTTTAAAATTAACTACAGAAATCACCATCTCTGGTCCCTTTTAGTACCTTCAATATTTATTTTCTGCTCCACAAAACCAACTTTGTGTCTCTGCTTTATCCCTGCCCTTCCCATCCAAAGCCTCTCCTGGATTCATCTCCAAGCCAAGCCTTGCTCTGGGACAGCCTGGAAAGTGTTTGGTTATCAAAGAGCACATTTCTGTGTTTTGTTGCTTTAATGTTTCCCTGGAATTCTCTTTCCTTGTGGTTCCCAGTGTGAAAATCCTGCAGGAATTCTACTCAGAATCAACAGTAAATCAGATTTCCTCCATGCATTGAATTTGCTCTTTCATCAACCTGAATTTTCCCGTTTTTTTGGTGAAATCTGACAGCTCCTGGTTTGAAAAATCCTTTGGAAGGCACAAGAGGAGAGCAAAACTGCAGTGAGGTTATCAATCTTTATCACCACGGGGTTATCAGTGAATGTTTATCAATCCTTAACACCACCCAGTAAAAAACCCTCAATAAAAGCACCCAGCCCTGCCAGATTCCCTCTGCTGCTGCTCCTCTCCAGCCCCAGCTCTGGGCAAATGTCCCACTAAAGGTGACTGAGAGCGTTTAGAAACACAAATAACTCACTTTAGAAGAAAATATCTATTAAAAGAAACCCCTTTTTGGGCTGGGAGAGAGGATTTGCTCCTCCCTGCAGCAAATCCTCTCCTCTCCACCAGGCAGCAGCAAAAAGCAAACCCTTTCCAGTACTAACAGGATACATAATGTGTATTTTAGGAGCTGAAAAAGAGGCTTTTAAAGCAGAACCCCATCATTTTTATGGGACAAAAATCCCATCAAAATTTTATCTATGGGAATACAGCATCAGAGAGAATTCCAACCTGTGCAAACATGTATTCCAGGGAATTGGCATCCAGGATGGGGGTCCCCTCTGGGGCCAGCTTCTTGTCATAGGCCTTGGCCCTCCTGGGGGAGTGTCTCCACACCGAGGGCTCGCTCTCGCTCGTCCCGTGCCAGTTGGTGAAATAATATCTGCCAGAAAAGCCAGAAACTTGAAAAATCTATTGGGAACAGCCTCCATTTCTACAAGATAATCTGGGTTTTGGAAAATAAAGCAGTTCAAAGTAAGAACTGGTCAAACTTCTGCCTGAAGGTTAAGTAGTCCAACATTCCAGCACATTCCTGGCCTGAGGAACTGGAGGAAAATATACAATTACAATTATTATGGATTATTAGGGGGTTTTCCTTTTTTTTTTTTTTTTTTAGAGAGATGTAGCACCTCTCCTGTGAGGAAAGACAGATTTAGGAATGTTCACCTGGAGAGGAGAAGGCTCCAGGGAGAGCTCAGAGCCCCTGGCAGGGCCTGGAGGGGCTCCAGGAGAGCTGAGAGGGACTGGGGACAGGGGATGGAGGGACAGGACCCAGGGAATGGCTCCCAGTGCCAGAGGGCAGGGATGGATGGGACATTGGGAACATGGGACATCCCTGGCTGGGATGGAATTCCCAGAGCAGCTGGGGCTGCCCCTGGATCCCTGGCAGTGCCCAAGGCCAGGCTGGAGCAGCCTGGGACAGTGGGAGGTGTCCCTGGGATGGGATGGGATGGGATGGGATGGGATGGGATGGGATTTAAGGTCCCTCCCAGTCCAAACCAGTTTGGGGACTGACATTGATAAAGCCCCAAATCTGCAGTGGTCAAGGCTGGAGTGGCCCAGCCTCAGTGCAGAGTCTTCAGCAAAATAAAATGAATGTTTTGAGTTGAGCTCTTCTTAGGCAGGAACTCCAACCCAAAACTGAGCCAGAAACTCCTGACAAGGACCAGAGGAGCCCCCAGGACTCCCTGGGCTGGGGCCTGGAGAGCAGAGCAAAGCAAACCCTTCTGAAACCCAGAGGAAATGACTTTGCTTCCCTGTTCTCCTGCAGAAGAGGAGTCAGAATTAATAACTGCAATTCTTCTGTTATTTCCTGAAAATAATCATGGGCAAGGCCTTGTGCATTGTTTGGGACCGAGAGGAGACTTTGCTCCTTTCCCTAATTAACTGCTCTGATTAACACCACAAAAACAACTGGGGCCCATTGTTTGAGGGATGGGTAAATCAAGGAGAATCTTTTCCTTGGAAAGCTCCAGGGCTTCCTGGGAGAGATTTTGGGGATTTCACTTCCACAACAGGAACAGGAACACGAATTTCCCCATTCCCAATGAGCTGGGGAGGGAATTGTGCCCCTGAGCTCCAGGACCAGGACCCAGCCCTCCCTCAGGGCATCTTCCATCATCATTCACCATTATCTCACATATCTCTATGCAATTTTACAAAATAAATTTAATCAGTATTTTATTATTGTATATAATATTCTATATATTATATTATATTATATTATATTATATTATATTATATTATATTATATTATATTATATTATATTATATTATATTATTATATCATATCATATCATATATTATATCACATTATATTATATTATATTACATTATATCATATTATATAATATCATATTATATATTGTATGAATTATGTTAATATTATATTTTATTATATATTACATTATTTATTATAATATCATAAATTATTTTATTCTCTAAATCCATTCTTCACTTCTGAAACTTAAAAAAAAAAATCCTCCAATCCCTACAAAAAACCAGAAGTTTACTTGTATTTTAACAAATACAAAATCTAAGTAAATTTCAATAAAAAATATAAAATTCTGTCAAGTACAAAAAGCCACTAACCACTCTACAAACAAAGAAAACCACCCACACAAATATAAATTACAGAAAAATTGCAACCCTTGTAATTCACCCACCTATATATAGTTATATAAAATTTACATAATTTTATAAAAAATTATAAACTTGAAGTTCCTTTATATGGATAAAAATCAGTAGTATTATAAATCTTTTTATAAAATAATAAGTAAATAAAATATAAAATTCAATCCAATATATATCCAACAAATAATTTAAAATGTTATCAATGCAGTATTCATAATTCAAACAAGAGAGGGAGATGTTAAAACTCTAGGTATTAAAAATTTTAAACTTTCTTTACTAAGAAAACACAAATCCACAAAATACCACAAAAATACTACAGGAACCCACAAACTACTAAAAAAATACTACAGAGGCCCACAAAATCCTACAGAAATACTACACAGATACTAGAAAAATACTATGGAAATCCACAAAATACCACAAAAATACTACAGAGATCCACAAAAATACTACACAAATACTACACAAACACTACAGAAATACTACAGAAATCCACAAAAATCCTACACAAACCCACAAAATCCTACAATCTGCTTCCAAAATCCCTCCAGAAAGGAAGTGGATCCCTTTTCCACAGCAAAACCCAAACCCAGCTGTGGAAGAGTTAAATTCTCCTCCTCTCTGAGTAATGACGCCAGGATATTACAAAATCCTGGGGTTTCTCATTTAAAAAAAAAATTCAATAAATAGAACTTGAGGCAAGTGAGAAAACCACAGGGAACTCAGAGAGTTTCTGTGAAAAGTCCTTTTAAACATCACCAAAAGTGCAGCAGCATCTGGCACTGATTTAGGGCAGAGGAGGAGAAATTCACACAGAAAACAAAAAGTTCTCAGCAGAGGGAGAAAAGTCAAAGCCCCACAAACATCTGAGCCCAGTCACGCCGTTCATTTTAGAGATATCATTAAAAAAGACATGACAAAAACCTATCAATGGAAGCAAAAATACAAATTATTCCATTTCTGACTTGTCAGGTACAGTTAATCCACTGGTCTATTAAAAAATAAATTTAAAAAAATTTAAAGTTTGAAATTTAATTTTTTTACAAATTCATTTCTGAATTATCGTGTAGAGTCAACCCACTGCTCTATTAGAATTTTTTTTGAAAACTAAATTTTTTTAATTAAAAATTTTAAAATTAAAAAAATTCATTTCTGAATGATCATGTACAGTTAATCCACCACTGTATTTTAAAAAAGTAATTAATTTTTTAATTAATTTTTTTAAAAATTTCATTTCTGAATGATCATGTACGGTTAATCCACCACTGTATTTAAAAAAAAAATAATTAATTTTTTAAAAATTCATTTCTGAATGATCATGTACGGTTAATCCACCACTGTATTAAAAAAAAATAAATTTAATTAATTTTTTAAAAATTCATTTCTGAATGATCATGTACCATTAATCCACTGCTGTATTCAAAAATTAATTAATTAATTTTCAAAATTAATTTTTAAAAAAATTCATTTCTGAATGATCATGTACAGTTAATCCAGTGCTCTGGAACACTTCAAATGGAAATCCATCCATAAAAGCACTGACACAAACCCCAGTGGTCTGGAGCCAATTTTCCAATTAACTTTGACCTTGCTCACTCCCAGTTTGGTGAAAACAACTTCTCGTGCTTTTCCAACTTTTTTTTTTCAAGATTAAACCCCAAAGATGCAAAGAAATCAGGAGATGCTTGAAGCTCCTGCTGCTCATCTCTCCTCTAAGCTGTGCAAACCCAGCTGCTGCTTTTGGTGCTGCCTCCCTGCTCCTTCAGGGAGCTCAGGAATGAATAAATCTCATTTCCCAGTTGTTCCCCTTACCTCATGCGATAATGGAGCCTGAAGGATGATTTTTCCTCCACCTTGAAGACCTGGTTTGGTGCATACCAGAGCTTTTTGTTCTCATCATACAGAGCAAAGAGGTTGTGGCACAGAGGGGACACAGCTGGCACAAAAAATACACAAATGGATGAATCACAAAGCTCCAGGGCACATCCACGCCCCAAAACACAAAAGCATAAAGCAAATATTGGATCATGAAAAGAAACTGATACTGGGATCAGCCTGAAACAAATATTGGGGAGGAAAGGTTGAGGTGGAGCTGTCACCTGGGTTCAACCTATGTGGTTTGGGGTGGATTAAACAGATATTTCTGCTCTTAAAGTGATCCTCAAATCCCCTCAAAGCCCAAGGTCTGAGCTCCAAAGAAATCACTTAAAACCTTCATTTTGTCCAGATCACAGAAAAGGGAGTTTTACCAAACCCCCAACTTTGTTCTCAGCTTTATTTTGTTAATAAATTCAACCCCCAGAGGTGAAAGGAGGTTTTGGCAAACAAGCAGAAAGCTTTGGTGGCTCCACAGAGAAAGAAGCCAGAGAAAGCTTTGGTCTGCTGCAGCTAAGAACAGACTGTGACACCAATGGGCTGATCTGCTTTAACTCTGGCATTTCCTCCACCCCAGATCTCTTTGGGATGGATGCTTCCTCCATCCCAGATCTCTTTGGGATGGATGTTTCCTCCATCCCAGATCTCTTTGGGATGGATGTTTCCTCCATCCCAGATCTGTTGGAATTCCTTGTCCCAGCTCTGGGAGCAGCTGCACCATCTGTGGGTTCACAGCCCCCAGAGAGCAGCTCCTGCACACCAACATAAACAGGTGACTGTTAAACACCCCTCACTGTGCTCAAACCTCTTAAAAAACAACAGCAGCACTCATTTGGTGAGGTTTGTCCTGCAGATTTCCATAATTTCACCCATCCCCATGGAAGAGGAGCAATTAGGCAAATGAGCTGAAGGGGATTACAAGAATCAAAGAAAACATTTGAGAGCTGCAGGAAAATTCCTGCCCAGTTCCCCTGTTCACACCTCACAGCAGCTGGGTGAGCTTTGGTGCTCCATGGGCAAAGAACCTCAGAACTGTAAATACAAAAGCCCAGTGGGCTGTGAGATCAAGCAGAGATGAAATCCACTTTTCCTGTGGAACTGCAGGTGTGTTCTCTGAGCCCCAGCCCAGAGGGAAGAGCACAGCACAGCTCCTGACACGTGAGGGATGCACACGAGGTCAGAGCAGCTTTGTGGGGATTTATTGGGATATTGGCTCTTCCTCTGACTGACACACAGAGGATGCCTGACTCTGGCTGCTGCCATGCCCCTGGGAGCTGAAATAAACCCAAACACTCACAGCACTTCTGGGCAGCCTCAATGCACAGCTCCTCCGAGGTGAACTCGCCGCTGGAGTAACAGAGGGGGGCTTTGTCCTGCAGGTAGAAGAGGATTTCCAGCCCCTGGTGCTGAGCTTCCAGGTTGAGCTCATTTTTCTTGGTGCTCCTCATTTTTGCACAGAAAGCCATGGCTTTGCAATCTTCTTTTACGTTGAGATACTGGGAGTGCAGGGGGAAGAGCAAAGGGAAACGTGAGGGGAGTTGGGATTATCAGGACACAAACCCATCACTGCTGGCTGGGCACCAGCATCCTCCAAACCCTCAGGTGGGGATTATCCAAAACCAGCCAGGTGAAAAGGGGAAAAAAGAAATGTCAGTGATTATTCTGGTTCTGGGAACTCTGCTCCATTATCATTCCCTTCTCTTCTGGTGGTGCCACAGCTTTCCTGCAAGGTTTCTCTTCTCAAAGCAGAAATAACTTTCACATCCTTCAGCACCTCCTTGGCTGGAAAACAACACTTGAGCCTGAGTGATTTAAACAGCTCATTTGATGTTTCCTTCTTTAAAAAGTCAGCTTCTATTTTTGCAGCCCCTTAACAGCAAAAGATTTCTCATTGTTTTCTCCCCTCTCACCCTTTGTGTTTGAAACTGCTGATGGTTTATGAGTCATGGTGTATTTTATAAGATTTATTGGCATTTATTTTTTATTACTACTTCTCTGTCTCTCCAGGAGGAAAGAGTAGCACTGAGTACATTTAATGCAAGAGCTTTTAGATTGCCAAGGATGCACAACAGGTTAGCTCTGACTCAAAAGAAAATTGCATTTTACACCCAGTGCTTAAATAGAAAGAGCAGAAAGTTATTTGAGTTATTTGGGTTCTTTGTTCCATGTTTTTCTAAGCTTTAGAAAGCCCAAACCACCAACTTTATAGTTTATGAAATTAATCCTCCCACCAAAAAACCAATTAAAAATGAACCCCCAAAGCCAACACACCTGCATTTATGTGCCTGTGGGATCCTCTACACAACTGAAATGGGTCTTCACTCTCCCCAGGGGAAGCTTCTCTCTGACTGAAAAAAAAAGGGAAAAATAAACATTATCAGGAATGGCTTTGTACAGCTGGAGGCACAAATGAAATGGTCAGGCTGATAAAATTCCACCTGCAATCCTAGGGAACAGATAATAGTAATAATAATAATAATAATAATAATAATAATAATAATAATAATAATAATAATAATAATAATAACTGAGACCTGGATCTGGCCTCAGCCAAGCCAGCCCCAGGAACCACCCAGGAGTTTGGGCACATCCACTGATCCCTTCTGACTCTTTGGGGGCACTGCCTGAGATGCAACCAAATAAGCAGGAAAACCTTGGTTATTCCCTGGATTTCCCCCTGTTTGCAGTCTGGAATTGTTCTCCTCACAAGCCTCAGCTGTGACACCACAGGGACATTTTCCTCTGTGCTTCACCTCCTCCATGCCTTCATCCCTCACATTTTTCATTAGATATTAATTCCAATTTCACCAGATATTCATTCCAATTCTCTCCTGCTCTCTGTTTTTCCCTGCCCCCCCAGATTATCATTTAAAATGTGTCCAAAGTAAACCTGACAGTGCTGCTGCTTTGGGAACCCTCACCCATCACTCATCTGAGGCTGAAGCTTCCTCCTCTTCCAGCCTCCATCCCTCCTTTCTCCCTCCACCCCATCCCTGCCAAAATGTGTTCCAAATAAATGTGTGTTGATTATTTTTGCTCCAGCAGGGTGAGTTAATCTGACCTAGCAGACTTCAGCAAATATTGCTTTAAAAGCCTGAGGCTCAGTCTGGGAAAAGTCAGACAGAGCCACACAACTTCCCTGGTGCTTGGGAAGAGCCCAGCAAACCTGATCCCATCCCCGAATAAAAAAATAAAAATATTGAAGAGCCTGGCACACATTCCCAATGAAATTGCATTTTTCTGCCATCTCTGCCACTTGAATGCTGAATTTGAGGTTCCTTTGGCAATAATATGGGGAACAAGAAATTGAGAGTGCAATATGCACACAAGCCAGGAATTATTTCTGCACAGCACCATAAAATTGAAATGCAAAAGTTGAAATCTATTAATATTATTAATAGGAATTAATATTAGATTAATATTCTTTATATAATAAATAAGATCTAAAAATAATTTTATATTAATATTATTTCTACACAGCACCATAAAATTGAAATGCAAAAGTTGAAATATAATAATATTATTATTAATAGGAATTAATATTATATTCATATTCTTTATATAATAAATAACATCTAAAATAATTTTATATTAATATTATTTCTACACAGCACCATAAAATTGAAATGCAAAAGTTGAAATATAATAATATTATTATTAATATGAATTAATATTATATTAATATTCTTTATATAATAAATAAGATCTAAAAATAATTTTATATTAATATTATTTCTACACAGCACCATAAAATTGAAATGCAAAAGGTGAAATATAATAATATTATTATTAATAGGAATTAATATTAGATTAATATTCTTTATATAATAAATAAGACCTAAAAATAATTTTATATTAATATTATTTCTACACTGCACCATAAAATTGAAATGCAAAAGTTGAAATATAATAATATTATTAATAGGAATTAACATTATAATAAGTCTTTATATAATAAAGAATATTTATAAATAATTTAATATTAATATTATTTCTACACTGCACCATAAAATTGAAATAAAAACGTGAAATATATTAATATGAATCAATATATTATTTATAAAATAAATAATATTTATAAAATACTTTTTACATTAATATTATTTCCACACAGCACCATAAAACTGAAATGAAAAAGGTGAAATATATTAACTAGAATCTCATTAAAACTCCCTTTTAAATTACATAGAACTGAAGCTCAATAGATTTTAATGTCTGTGTGGGCCTAATGTTAAAAAGATTGTCCAGATGTTTTAAAATGTGAGGGGGAATTTAAAACCACTGCCTTTTACAGATTCATAAATCAAACTTCTTGTTTTTCAACAGAGCAGCTTTGCTTTGGTTAAAAGCTCCTACTCTTGGTTTTAGTCACAGCAATTCCCAGAATGCTAAAACCTTAAAGTGCTGCTTCATTTACCAAACCTTCTGGGTTTGAACCAAACAAACCACCATCCAACCCATGATTTATTATTTCCTAATGGCTTTCCCAGACGTTCCCTGCTCATTGTCAGGGATTCACCTTTCAAAAATGCATTTTCACCTTCCAAAAAGGCTCCTTAGGGCCAGACAAATTCCTGCTCTGTCTGAGCATCCTTCTCCACACCTACACAGTCAAATGCTTCCTCTCTGAAAAGTGATTTCTATCCTTTGCCACTGTCTCAGAGCCCCACAAATTGTTATTTGTGTAATTTTTTGTCTCTTTTCTACCCCAAGGGATGTGCTCAGTCCCTGCTACATTTGCTTTTTTTTGAGGCATATTTTAATTTCACTTCATTTCTGTTTCTCCCAGTGGAAGCAGCTCTTTCTGATGTACCCTCTAAAATATATTTTTGGGAATGCAGGATGGCTTTTCTTGAGCTCCCACTCCCTCAGCAAAGGCTTTTCCTGCTTATTTAAAATCCTGACCCACCCATGGCTGGCCAAGGGAAGCCAGGTGAGGAATTCTTTTCCTCACACACAGACAGAGCCGTCAGAAACCTCTGATATCACAAAGAATTATGAAATAGGGGGAGGGAAGTCTAAAGGTGGGCTGTTGATCAGTTTGGCCATTAATATCAGGACATTTGGGAGAGAATAATATTTGGTAAAAACTCGAGTTTTTGGCTATGATTTGCTACATTTGAAACCCAGCAGCTCCAGCATTTTTGAGGAAAAAAACCAGATGTACAACAGTATCTGTTAAACAACACCTTTAGACTAAGAAAAGGCAGATGCAGAAATTAAATTGAAACTCTGCAAATCTTCCTTGAGCCAGAAGGATGCTGCTCCACCAAGCCCACACTTCACCATAACCCAGGATCCTGGAAGCCAAATGCAAAGATGGAAGGTCCATTGCAGGGGCAAAAGTCCCTAAAATACAAATACAGGAAAATCCCAGCTAAAATGTGACCAAACCAAAACTCACTTTGAGGCATCATTTGCAAGTTCTTCCTCTTTTTTGCCATCTCAGCCAATCTAGTTTCACATTTCCTAACATCTTAGAGACTGAAAATTTGGATATATGAGCACATGCCATTTGTTTTCCACAGGATTCTCTCAGCAAATGTACATTTTATTTGTTTGAATTATTTATTACTGTGTTTATTCTATGCTTTGATTCAGAGTGATCTCATCCCAGGCTGTTTACTCCAAAGCAGAATTAACAATTCCCCTTGGGTTTTTCTGCGCAATCCATGCTGTGCTATGACTGACCCACACTGTAAAATTGTGTTTTAAAACAGGGCCAGGAGGGCACAGAATGGAAATTTTCACCAGGAGTGGTCCATGTGCAGCAGAGTCCTCAAGAACTGAAAACCAGCCAGCTTCATTAGCATCACACTCTGATTAACAGCTATTAAATATTTCCATTTTCAGCTCTCCAGCTCTGAAAAGCACAGGAGGGCAACTCCTGGTGTGTTCTGAGTGCTGCCCAAACCCAGCCATGCCCTGCTGCACCCTGAGGACTGACCCTGCTCCTTTCCTGTGCCTTTCCAAGGCATTTTCAGCCACTTCTCTGAACTTCACAACATGTCACCCATGTGGGAAGAGGTTTCTCAGCCCTCCCAGAGAGCTGGGTGTTCATTTCCCACCTTTATTGTTCTGCCTCCAATGCCTGTGACAGATGCAGGAGCACACAAGCATCAAGTCCTATTTTTTTCTGTATTACCTGCTCTTTCCAGCCTGGATTCCTTTGGATACAGACTGGGCTGCTATAATCACCAATTTTTCATGGTTGGTTGGGTTGGAAGTGATCTTTAAAGGTCACAACCTGTCTGCAATGAGCAGAGGCATCTTCAACTACGTTTTTACAGCTTAAAAATGTGTGCCTAATTCTCTTTCATCCCCAATTTCTGGTATAATAACTATCAATGATCCAATTCTTGGGGTTTACAACCAATTATTCTATCCTTGTATAGTCAACCCCAAGCACTTCCCTGCTAAAACAGAATCAATTTCCTTGAAGGCAAAGAAAGCCTCAAGAAACCTTCACAGAAACCTTCCAACAGCAACCTGATTTTTCTGTAATTAAGTTTTCATTACAGAATTAACTTAATTTTAATATGTTTTTCCTCACAACTATGTAAAACCAGCTTTATTGCTCAGGCTGATGCTGACGGGGCTAAAGGGGCATTCCAGTGTTAAAGCGATTTACTCGGACAATTTGTTTTTATTCCTGCCTAGGACACGGCATTAATGATCCTTTTCCTTCCTTGATGTTCTCCTCTCTGATCCCCGTGCCCAGGCAGCTTGGGGCTGAAGATGGGATGGGAATTCTCTGGAGAAGAGCCACGGTCCCTTCCCAGCAGAGCAGAGCAGAGCTCCGGGAAGCGCGGCCTCTTCCCGCTGATTCCAGCCCTTTCCTGAGGGGCACCTCAGTCAGACCCGTGCAAAAGCTTCCAGGGAAACCAGCCTGGCAAACACCCCGGGGCTTCTCACAGGAGAAAGTGCAAAGGGTTCTGCAGGGCTTCTTCCTGAGGGCTGACCCCAGCAGGTCACTGGAGCAGGATGTGGCAGCGCTCCGGATAAAGTTAAAACTTCCCTGGGATGAATTTAATGGGAATGAGGCACTGAGAGCGAGGAGCGTCACGCACAGCAGCTCTGCTCACACACAGAGAGGAGGGCTCAGCACACCAGCCCTGCTCAAACACACCAGGGAGGGTCACACACACCAGGGAGGGTCACACACACCAGCCCTGCTCACACACACCAGGGAGGGTCACACACACCAGGGAGGGTCACACACACCAGCCCTGCTCACACACACCAGCCCTGCTCACACACTGCAGGGAGGGTCACACACACCAGGGAGGGTCACACACACCAGGGAGGGTGACACACACCAGCCCTGCTCACACACTGCAGGGAGGGT